TAATGGCAACAAAGATACTTTTTAAACCATTTTATGTTCAAGGTGGATTAAGAAGGAAAACAAACTGAATTCTTCACCTGATGTGTTTCTGCTGGAAGGTCTGAGCAGGAAGTCACCAACCTGAACACACACATTCACTGTCAGGTCTAAGATTCACCTCGAAAACGTGTGCATGTGTTTGTCGGTGTCTCACCTGTCCTGTGATCTCCAGGTGGGGAGACACTGAAGAGTCAAAGGTCAACACATCTTTGTACTGATCAGGTGCTGCAGAGCTTCCACGAGACAAACCTGAAAACAGATTTTAATGTTATATTTTTTTCATTCAAAGGGACTATTTCATAATCCGTCCACTAGAGGGAAATAGAGGACACAGCAGAGTTAGCACAGTTAGCTCATTTTTATTTTATTGTCTTTATTGTCATCGTACCACAGAGCTCAGTGTTATTAGATTGTACCTGCACTCAGCTGCCCTGGGGAGTCGCTGTGATGCTGCTGAGTTATCATCTGATTGGCTTTCACTTCTCCTACGCTCAGGTCCTCCACCTCAGTCTGTGTGGTTTCTTCCTGTGTCTTGTTGAGCAAATTCAGCAGAAGGTCAGGTCCTCTGACCTGTCCCTCACTAGGCGGGTCGTGATCCTGAGGACAGAGGGAGTCCAGAGGTGTAAAACAACTTCAGGCTTCATCTTCCTATTTCCACAGGCCTCAGAACTGAGCAGTGCAGTGAACTAATGCAGTTAAATCATTAGGCTGTTTATCAGTCGCCATGATCTCAATTCAAACATTTGTTTCCAACAAAGTTTCTGACTGAAAACAACAGATGGAAACAACAGCGGTCACATAACCTCTGAAGTAGAAGAGGAAGCCTGGAGTAAGATGAAGGTGTAATGTGAGTGAAGATGTGTTAAATGTTAATCACCATGTCCTGAAGCTCCTGCAGTGAACTGTTAAAGCTGCAGAGGGCACCGTCGTCCTCTGAGAAGAGGAGAAATAGACAGAATCAAATGAACTAAAAACCATATTAAAGTAAGCAGAACTTCAGTAATGCTTCGCAGTAAAAAACTTGAGGTCCTGTGCTGGTCTTGGGAGGATCCTCAGGATCCTTTGGTCTCAATTTCTGGTGATGTCCACAATGAAGAGGACATTACCTGTGCTGTGGTTCTCCAGGTTGACACTGATGAGCAGGCGCCCCTCTGATATCATGGCATCTGTCTCTGTTGTCACTGTGCTGCCACTGCTGATGGAGGCAGATTCTGAGGAGCTGGATGCAGACGCTGATCTTTCCTCAGTCTCGTGCTGAGGAGGAGGAGGAGAGGGGGCGAGTGGTAGAGGATGAGGGAAGGGAGAGGAGACAGGTGGCTCCTCCTCTGCTACTGACATCACACTGAAAAGAAAGAATTATCTGGTTGGTTTAACTGTTTAGTGTTGATAAGGTTCAAGCATCACTTAAGAAACATACAGCTGTTGATCCTTTGTTTTCACTGACTCCTCCGGTTTCTCCTCCTCCAATGGCAGTTCAACATTTCCCCAGGTAAGAGTGGGTGGAGTCAGAGGAGGTGGACTATCTATCAGGGGGGCGTGCACTGGACTTGGTGGGGGAGTGGTAATCTCTGATTTCACCAAAATACAAAAATTATTTTGGCACAATTGTACAGTTATAAGCCCACACGCTAACACTAATGCTGTAGTTCAGAGGAGACAACAATGTAGCTAACCTGGTCCTGGGACTGGCTCAGGACTCCTGTCTCTCTTTGGGCTGGTGGGTTCAGATGGAGGGGGTGTGGTCAGGGGTACGGTCTGCTCCACAGTTGTGGTGGCGCTGGGAGGAGGGGTTGGAACTGGTGTGGGAATCAGAGAGACTGATGTGCTCTAGAACAGAAGAAAACTAATTTAAGGATCAGCACTTAACACTTGGTACTTCCAGTGTTACCAGTGTCCAAACCTCCTGATCAGCTACTGGTTCTGATTCTGGTCTCTGTGTTACAGGTTCTTGGTCTGGAACTAAACTGTGCCTCTGTCCTAGCATTACAGCCACAGTCTCTGACAGAACCTCGTTCACCAGTTGTCTGATCAGGGCTGAGTCCACTGGCATGTTAGAGTCGACAAACAGCTGCAGACCAGCGCCTCCTGCTGCCTCTACTAAACACAAACAGGACAAAAGTTTCAAATTCTGTTTTCTGAGTAATTGGGTCTAACAGCAGGACCTCTTCTCAAGACAGTTCTGCTTAGATTTACCAATGTCTGAGGTGAGACTTTGCTCTTCCAGCTCTGATTGGTCTGTGGAAACATCCTGTGTGGGGTCAGCAGGAGGAGGGTGGTACATCTCTGAGATCATCCTGGACATCAGTTGCTGCTCCACCCTAAAACCAATAGATGTGACTTAAAGGGAACTACAAAAAATATTTTAATCTAGATCATTCTATCCCAGTTTTCTCTCACCAGTCCACAAGCCTGGACTCCAGAGTAAGGTCTGGGATAGGATTCTGATGCTGGGCAGGCAGGTCCAAGAAGGTCTGAGGAGGGAAGACTGGACCCTCGTACTGAACCGCAGGAAGAGATGGTCCACCATCCAGTTCCACAGCTCCCTCTCCTACCTCACTTAGATCACTCACTTCCTCCTGAGTGGAGGAGAACAGCAACTTATTGGTTTATTTTAATGTTTATCTAAATGGTGCAATTACAGTGGATACAGTTACACTTAGTGCTATAATCTCACTTAACTACACAACTGAACAGCTTTATAAGGACAGTGGATTAACAGTTCCTTTGCCTACACCTTCTTTAAGATAAGAGAGTTTAATTTATATTACATTATTAAGTTTAAAGATCTTTAACTGTTTAAAGATCTTGAACAGTTCTAGTTTTTATAGTCACCTTCCGAAGTCAAACAAACAAAGGTAAATTATTTGCAGTAAATAAATAATAGTTTTCAAACCAATCAACTGACATTTGATCATTTCTGATGGTACACCTGATTATCTCTGGTCTGGGAATCATGTTCTCCTGTGTCCTTGACTATTTACAGCAGGTGGCGCTGTTGGGCTGCATTTACCTGGACGACATCAGCCACAGACAGAGAGTCAGCTCCAGGGAAGATGTTCTCCTCATCTCTTCCTGCATCACTTTCAACTTCTATCACTGGAGGAGCAGGAGGAACAAGAGGAGGTGAAGCTTCGTCCACATCCAGATGCAGAGGCCTCTGTTGACAAAGCAAAATCTTTCAGTGATCTATAAACTCTGAGGGGGTGTCAGTAAACCTGTAACTTTAATTTACCTCAGCTGTTTTGTGTACAACACTTGGAGCTGGTCTGACTGGTGATGTCACTTCCTGCCGAGGCTCAGTGAGATGCTTGGAGTCGACTCTGCGACGACCTGAGAAGATATTACATCTATTTACAATAGGGTTCCTGTTTTCTAATCTAAATAAAAAAATAATTGTATTCAGTCTTTTTCCATTTATATGATCAACTTGTATTTGTAATTAATATTTTCCTTTAATTAAGTTTCCTTTTCTTTCCCCCCTTTTTTAACTGCCAAACTTAAAACTTAAAAAAAATAAAATGTTTACAACAAAACATCACCTGGCTTAGAATTCTGGGAAATTATTTCTTCACTGTAAATATGATTTCATTTACAGAAGTAAACTGACCCAGTGGGATGGCCACAGGAACCAAGGGGAGCCCAGCACGGGGCGCTGTGTTGTCAGCAGCATCACCTGATCCTCTGAAGACCGGCTGACAATGAGGCCGTTCAGGTGAGACAGTGGAGGGTGGAGCCATGCTTGTCTGAGTCTTACACGACTTCACCTTCACACCTGAGAGACATGTTACACAACACAGTGATGGTTGTATCCTTACCATGGATCGGTCCTTACACAGAGGATGTCTTTTTATTTGACAATTTAATTTTAACATTTAGAATTTTAGAAAAAAAAAAAAAAAAACCTTTAACACTCTCCACCAGGCGTGGGCGCGGCTTCCTATTGGATGAAACTCGCGGTGGGGAGCTGAGGCGTAGGTAAGGGCTCTTCTTCAGTGTCCTTCTTACACCTTCATACGGTGCTCGGCCATACAGACGCATCAGATGCGACTCTATCTCTGGCTGTTCACTTGTCAGTCTGCTAAGCTCCGCCTCCTAAACGAGCACATGTCTTTAAACCACGTCTTTAAACCACAGCCAACACTTGACACACTATAAATCAAAGGAAATTCTTACCGCTCTGTGTGCAACCTTCTGTCCTGGACCACCTCCTCTTCCTGGACCACCTCCTCTTCCTGGACCACCTCCTCTTCCTGGACCACCTCCTCTTCCACCTGTTATCTTACTTCCTGTCTGTCTTGGTGCACTCACTGTCCTCATCTTCCCTGAGGAGCTGGGACACTCAGCAGCCTTCACTCTGGCATATTCTGAAGACAGCTCAGCCTGAGGAGGTTTTATTTATTTATTTATTTATTTTTGTACCCATTATTGTTTGAAATAAGCAGTCAAACCTGAAAATGTCCAAAACATTTGAAGCTGTTTCTCACCTGTATGTCTTTGCTTAAAGTAGTGATCCAGGTGTCCACAGTCTTCTTGATCCGTACTTGGTCAGAACAGTCTCTGCAGACAACACAAGGTCAAACATAGTCAAATATCAGCTGGTTTTGAGTAGAGCTAACTTTGTGATTATTATACCTAGCTTTAAGTAGACATGGAATTATTAAAACGTCAGTTAATGTCATGCAACTGGTCTCTAGGTTTGTCAGAGTAATTCTTTACCTTACATGCAAAATAACACTTCTTTCAGCAACCAATAAGACAAAAACATTAAGGCAGCTAGCAACTGCTAATAACTTGATAATGATTAAAGGTTAGCAGCAGTGATGGCTTAATGAATACATTGACCATGTCATGTCGTAGCAGCATTTTCCTGTGTAAGCAGACATTAATTTAGCTTTTTCTACCTATTAGCTGCCAGCGCCTCCAGCTGACAATGTAGGACGTCTCCATTCTTGGCTCTCATTAGAGCTTCAAGGTTCTCCTCTAGAACCTTCTTCTGCTTCTGAACCTGACGGAGAACTTTTCCTGCCTTCTCTAATGTGGACGGTGCTACAGGAACTCTGTGGACTGGCTCAGACCGCAGTTCTACCTGGGCCTGTTTGAGGTCAGGCTGGAGCGGATGGGAGTGGACAGTTCTGGACCTAGCGAGGTCTTGTTGAGTCTGGGTTTTCTGGGACTGGGGATGTTGAGACTGATGGAAGTTTTGATGGGTCTGATCGTGGATTTGTGGAGACACACATTGTTGGCGCTGGTAATTTCTTTCCCAAGTTTGTTTTTTTGTGGATTGAACATTGGTTCGATGAGTGTTGTCTCTGTGTGAGTGGTTCAGTTGATTTGGGAGGGGATTCTGTTGATTGTGAAGCAGGTTGTGTTGATGTTCTGAAAGAGGCCCGGTGGTTGTCAGGGTGTCTTGGGGCTGTTGAATGACAGAAAAGGATTTAGTTTAACAAGGTTGTCTACCAGTCCTCTGGTCACTGGTACAGGTACTGCAGGGTTCTACGACTACTGTATAATTCTACTTTGTTTTATGTCTTTCACTTACTTTCAACAGAGTCTTCATCTCACTCCTCAGTCGTCTCATCTCCTTCAGAACCACGTTCACATTTTTTGCGGCTGCTGCTGTTGTTTCTGAGCTCATGCGACTATGACGGCAGCAGTCACTGTTGAGAAAAAAAAAGCTGGCTATTTGCAAAGAAAAATCAACTAACAAAGACAAGTAGAGAAAGAAAGTTGCAGTAGAAGACCTGGCTTTGTCTTTGTACATATATTAACACAATGACTTCTCCCTCCACTGTTACCCACAGGAGCAGAGGAGGCCAGAATTAGAACTGGTGGAGGAGTTCCAGTGTGAATCTTAGCACAGACTCACAACCCCTTTTCTATAACTGCCAGGCAACAGACTTCATCATCTGCCCATCCATCCATTATCCACCACTTATTCCTTTGCAGGGACGCTAGACCCAATCCCAGCCGTCAACGGGTGAGGGGGGGAACACCATCGCAGGGCACATATACAGATAAAACAACCGTGCAAAGGAATAAGCGGTGGATAATGAATGGATGTTTAGTCATCCATTTTCATCAAAATACATTTAAATAAAAAAATTGACTTTATGTCTAATTTGAAAAGACAAAAACCCCGGGACAGATGCCATTACCACTCCAGTTAAATGAATTCTGGCTTTATAATCCAAGTGAGACGTAGACTTGAATTTTTAATGAGTTGCTTCCAAACCAGATGGGTAGGTGTATTTCACACAGTCTACAGTCCTCCCTCACTGGTTCAAAAACACTGACACAGCTGCTGCTGTTGCTAGGCAACACCTGGGTGGTTTCCCATGGTTACAGTGAGCAGAGATGCTGCAGGGGAGAAATGTTCATTCACAAAGAAACTGCCTGGTCGCTTGTTTGCCTCCGTCTCTCTCTCTCTATGGTTGAATCTGTTTTTGTCCTTTTGTCTTTTCTCACCATCATCCCCAGTGTCTCTTAACTGAACCACTCTGGACGTGAAAATGGATGTGTTTTTTTCATAAACACAGAGACAAAGGTCTGAACAAAGACGTTTATTGGAGTAAAAAAAATGTTAAAATTATAAAATGAATAAACAGACAAATATATTTTTTTTACATATCACATAATACATACAAATAAATAGCAGCTGTAAAAAAGTAAAAAGTTATTTTACTCACAGAATTTTATAAAAATCAATGGACAGTGTAGTAATGTTTCACCTCTGCCTTTATCACACTGTCACACCCACTCCTGTTCCACTCAGGGAGGTGTTCACTGTGGCTGCTCAGCCTCAGACACACACTTCGATCATGAATTTTGATATCATTTGTATAACGACGACTTCTTTGATAAATAAACGAATTTCACAATAATGTGCTTTTCCAAATCCGAAGTAAAAGAATGGGACCGGCTGTGTGACCTGCCCTAATGTTGAAATTTTTTTTTTTATTTTAAAAATATAAGTAATTTAATTTCATACATTATACTGACATTTTATGGACTTAATGACTGGAAAAAAATAATCAGATAAATGAACAACTTAATTCCACTGCTAATTATAGCACTGATCATTCACTTGTGCACAGGACATTCTAAAACGCACTGACGTTTGGGCTAACATTTATACACCATTTTAAATGTAATCATTGAATTTGGAAGCTTTCAGAGCTTTTGAAACGCTGAAAAACTACAGATCCGTGTCTTCACTGGTTTTCAACTCAGGTCCATCACTCCTGTGTCTGAGGCTCAGCAGCTGTGTTTGTCTTCATATTTAAACCACACTATTATCTTCATCCTCCTCATCCTCAAGGGTCTCTTTCCTTTTTCACCTTTACGTCTCCAGCCAGAATGGTGGCGATCTCTCCCTGCATGAAGGCCCAGGGCACGTTGGAGCCCAGCAGGGGGCATTTGTCCCCGCTGGGGCAGTAGACCTCAGCGGCAGCTCCTTGGGCTTTGATGCTCTCTCTAGAGCAGGGGAAGCAGAACTTGTGGACGTGGACAGAGGGACACTGGACGAAGTGTGTGTCCTCAAGTCGTTCGTGGCAAATGGTGCAGCACAGAGGACCGCTGCTGGCAACAGGCGAACCATGTTGCTCTTGGTCCACTGCACCTGAAGACTGGTCTCCACTTTGGGAGGATGGGTGTCTCTGTCTGGCCACAGCAGCAGGAGACAGTGGGCTGTTGCTGGTGTGCCTGGAAGACGAGGAGTGCACGGAGTCTCTGTCCTTGTTGGGAGAGTGCGCGTTTCGGAGTGTTTCTGCAGCAGTCATGAGTGCCACCATCGATCCATTCTGAGAAGCGGCTGCAGGCTCTGGAGGTGTGGCATGACCGTGACTGGCAGCAGATCCAGTGAAAGAACCAGCAGCCATGGAGAGCTTAACTGCTTCAGTCTGGCTGTTGATCCACTGCTGCCTTGGCTGTTCCTCCCCGAGCTTCAGGCTACCCTCCGAGTCTAGTTCTGGAGATGCCCTCCTCTTCCTTCCTGCAGTCCGAGACATGCCGTTTCCACTCCCCGAAGCCAAAACAGGTCCAGACGGAACAAGGGAGGTGGGCAGAAGTGGAAAATTGTCGTCAATGTGTGACTGTGGAAGCATGTCTCCACCCAAACCCTCCTTAAACAACCGTAGAGACTCTGGCAACAAATCTCCAAGCAGATACCAATCTCCGGAGCCGTGTGTCTTCTCGTACTCCAGGTACTTGAACCCAGAAGACAAACCACGGCCAAAGTCCTTCATGCAGTCATGGTACATCTGCTTGGCCACCCCAGAGGCGCTGGAGAACACGTTCCCAGAGCCACTAGGATACTCTATGAAGATCTTTAGCTCATAGTCTGGCCCAGGTTTAGATACGGCGTCGAAGGCAAACACTCGTCCCACCAGACAATGGTCTTTTTTAAAGCGAACGTCGAAGGGAGTGCAGCTGGACAAAGTCACCAATGTGTCCCGCACTATCTTAGGTTTGCTGCTCCACTCCTCCTGCCTGTTTCTGAGGCTTTCGCTCAACTCTACTAAAGCTTCCGCATTCCGCTGCTTTTCCTTTATTTCCCGTTCCTGGTCCATGCTGGAGACAGAAGCTGGTCGCTTTCCTCCAGTCTCAGACAGAACCAGGGAGTCCTGTGGCACAGCTCGATTCAGCAGTGCCTGGGGCAGCAGGTTTGGGGGAACATGAATGGCTCCTGTTGACGACACCTGTCCACCATGGCTGCCACTCTTTAAGCTCAGACTGTGGTGGTTCAGTTCTGGTGGTCCACTATCCTGTTTAAAGCCATTCGGTCCTCCAAGTCCATTAGGGTGCCGGCTACTGCTGCTGGGTCCATTGTAGTCAAACCTCGTCCGCCTGTCTACCTCAAGTGGGTATCGCTCTGAGCCTGACTGCTGAGACTTCCCTGGTACATCCACCTGCTGGTGGAGGTGGATCTCCTTCATCGACAGATTCTTCGCCTGTGTCACTGGCTGCAGTCCACAGGCTGAGGACCTACCCTCCTGGATACCATGAGCCCGCTTAAGATGACGGGTCGTCTCGATTACAAACTCAATCTGATCCGCTCCCTCATAGTTGACGCAGCCCCGACACACAGGCTCGCTAAAGTCCCAGATCATAGCCCAGGGCATTCGAGGAAGGTCGCACAGATAACACGACTGTCGGCGTGAGGAGGATGCCTGCAGAGCCGACATCTTTACTCTGACTCTGTCTGCCACCACACTGACGCCTCCACAGCCACTACTGATACACAACCAGAGCTGAGGAAGGAGAGAGGGAGGGAGGGAGGGAGGAGGAGAGGGTGTGAGAGAGAAAAATAGAGAGAGAGCGGGAACACAGACTGCAGCAGCTCTGTGCTGCTCAGGTTATTGTTCCTGCTGCTGCGGCAGAGACAAGGAGGAGGAAGAGGAGGAAGAGGAGGAAAATGGAGGAGAAAAAAGGGGAGGAGGAGGAATAGGAGATAGAGAGAGAGAGAGAGAGAGAGATGTTTTTCCTTTTCCATGCATGCATCACTCCAGCTCAAGCTGAGGAATTTGAACAGACTCCTCCTCCACTTTCTGATAGTCTGTGACATCAGTTTCTTCTCCACTCAGAGTGAATAAAATGATGCTGATCTTGAATGAACATGTTCATAAATAATTCTTAATTTTGCTTTTACTGTCTTATTTACCCGACTGATTCTACATCAAACACAGCTGACTCTCAGACTCTGATTACCTGAGTTTGTCATGTGATCATCTGTGGAGGTGGAAACCACTGCAACAACTCCAATGTGGATTTAATATATTCATCCAAAGCCATTAATCACATCTCATTCAAAATCAAAAACAGAACCTGCTCTGCTTCTCGTTACAGACTGTGACAACAACAAACCAGAACTAACAGAGAATCCAAAAATAGAACAGTGGCCTTAGTGAAGGTTATCCCTGCCCCATTTTACCTGGTTTCCAAAGGCCTCTGGGTTGGGGCAGCTGTTGCCATGGTAACCTGACCAGTCTCCACAAATGCAGATGAGTGTTGTTGTTGGTTGCTATGGGCAACAGCTGATGCTGAGGATTAAAGAGAAGAGATGTCAAAGGTAGGAGTCAAAGCTTCTCATCCCTGTCCAACACAGGAACACACAATACTGAGGTATTTCCATGGCAACAAGCCAAATGTCAGATCTACTGTGCTGCCACCTGCTGGTCATAGTATACATTACACATTGTCATATCTGCATGCATATTTATGTTCTGTGTATTGACCTGGAACTGCAGAGGAGGCATGACTGGACACCATCTTGAATGCTGAATCCAGCAGCTGGCTCTGGATTAAATAAGAATAATGCGAAAAAAGCAATTAGCTGAAGACTGTGGGCTTAGCCCCACATGAAACACATAAGAAAGAGGGTGTATTCCTACCTGAAGCTGCAGCTGCTGACCATGCAGAGTCTCCAGATGCTGCAGCACCTGCTGGTTCAGGCTCCGCCCACTTTCCCTATTATCCCTGAAGACAAAGTAAACAGTCATGTTGCACAGAGAATACATTTTTTGTTCAAGTCAGGTCAGGAAAATCACACTAGATTCTGCCTGGAATAAATTTGTTGCGGGATTATAGCACACTCGTATTGTGGGGTTAGCATGTTTCTGAGTTACCTGTCAGCTTGGAGCAGCCGTTGAACACTGTCCACCACCTGAGACACCTGAGCGTCCATGTGAGACTGTGCCTAAACAGACACAGAGAGATGAACGCAAATCCTCAAAGCTGCACAGAGAGCAAATTTATCAGGAGTGACTCAGATTTACTTTGATCAAAGGAGCAGAGGCAGCAACTGCAGCAGCCACTGCTGCTGCATTTGAAGCATCACCAAAACGACCAGACAATAACTCCTCCTGTGTTTGCACCTCCGCAGCACCCATGGTATTTTGGGAGCTGGTTTGGAGAGGCTGCTGCTCCAACAGATTTACTCGGACTTCTCTCCTAATCGTGGAGGTATGTGAGCTAAGCAGACGATCAGACACAGACATCTCAATATATGACAATAGCTTGAGCAGAAGATCAGACACAGACTCAGACATCTCAATATATGACAATAGCTTAGAAATGTCAAAGCATAATAATTGGGTAGGCTTTGGTTTAACTGGGTAAAATTAAAATACTTTGATTTACTCTTGTTTAAGCTTACCGTTGCTTCAGAGCAGCCAGACCAGCTCCTCGACCTCCAGAACTGAAGCGTGATGTGAGCACATCCTGATGATCTCTGGCTGACTGTTTGACTGACTGGGATTCTCTCTTACCAGGCTGAGTCCACAGCTCCATGTCTGGACTCAGCTCTGCAGCTAGAGAAGGCTGCAGAAAGAAGAAACCAAAATGGTACAGGTTACTTCCTAACTCACAATTGAGTTATTAATTAACCAATTGATCAGGTTAGCAAACAATCTATAACTTCTACCTATTCAACTCACTATAGTTTGTGGAAATTTACGTTTTTTAGTTACAATCACTAAAATCCATATATAAAAACAAAGAAACGTATATTCTAACAATTGTTGAAATGATTAAGGAAAGGAAAGTGAACTCAAAAGGAAAGTGAGATGTGTCACTGTGACACATCTCACCACTGCACACCACCAACTGGGACCTCTGCTTTTAACCCAGAACTAATGTGAACAACGGGCAGCTTTAAGGGGGAGCAATGTGTGGGGATGGTGCCATGCTCACAGCACCTCAGTTGGTGGACTTGAACCTGCAACCTTCCAGACCAAAGTCCGCTTCCTTAACCACTGAGCCACCACCGAATGACTTTAAACAAATGTACTTTTTTTATACATATATATATTTTGAAAAAACTATATAGTATTGTATTTATAAAAAGCATAATGACACAACATTGTATCACACCATTTGAAAGCCAGCAATTAGTCACATATCACTTTTAGGCATTACAGTATTTATCGGAAACTTACCGTGGGTTTTATGTTCTCTTTGGTGTGTTGAGAATTATCTGTGTACAAATACATTCAAAATCATCAGCATACAACACAAAATAATCGATTAAAAGGAGAATGTTCACAATATGATGCCTCAAGCTCATTGTCATTTAGAAACACCTGAGGGATCTTACTGGAACGACCCGTCACTGTCTGTTGGCCGTGGTTCTGCTTCTGTATCAGCTTGATTGGGGTACAATCCAACAGTTTTTGGACACCGATCTGAACTGTACTTTGTCCCGGTCCACGTTCTGGTTCAGGTCCAAGTCCAGGTCCAGGAACAAGGATGCTTGTAGAGCGGATTAAAACGTCCCCTGTGTCTAAACTGCAGGTGGACTGAGCAGGACTATGTGTGAAGGAATTCGGAAAAGGACGGAACATCACTTCAGCATCACATTTGTAACGTTCTATGTAAACACTTGTAACTATCGAAGGAGTTAGCACACATGCTAACAGCTGCTAGCCGTGTTTAAACTTCCCGCCGCGGCCGTAAAGGGTTGAAAAACAGTTATCCTAATTAGATGAAAGTTGGTAACCCTAGCTGTAAATTAACAGACTATCCTTAAGTTATCAACACGACATGCGAAAAGAATTAAACCTAAAAAAGAGACTAAAATAGAAACGGGGTAAACAGTAACAGTTACTGACAACAACATCACGTTTGTCATGTCACAAACGTCACTTCCTTTTCCTCTTCGTCAACTGTCGTACTTCGTGGCCACCTGGTGGCACACCTGTTACTTTCCAAATACGACAACTAATAAAAAAAAAAGCTCCCTCCTCAAAGTATCTCAACATATCTTAAAGTTTGACATATTTTGATTATAATATTTTTAATTAACTACACTATATAAAACACCTACCTCATCAGCAGTGCTGAGCTGGTGGCAGAATTTGATGTAGATGTAGAAGAAGATAAGATTTTCATTTAAAAATGAACAAATCAGAGGAGGAGCTATTGTTGAGCAGTTTTTAGATTAAGTCTGAGAGGCAAAGTTTCATTTGTTTTGACATGTGAGAAGAAATAAAAGACGTGGAAAAGAACCGTGGTGATGGATGGTGCATGAGGCAGAGAAGAGGAAGAAACAGATTTATTTTTTATTGTTTATGCAAGCACAACAAAACTAGTCTATCCATGAAACTGGAACAGTTGGTACTTTACTGTGACTATGGAGTGAAATTGTTTGTGGTGCTTCTTCAACACATTACAGCCCTGCCATAAATGGATTCAAACCAGCAGTCACAAGGATTGGAGGACAACACTTTTAACTGTGAGATAAAATGTGAATGAGGACTTAAAAACACAGGTGACCTTTAAAAAAACTCCATCAAAAATAGAACAAAAATTAAACAATTTGTTTCTGTCATTATTTCATTAATACATTAAATTATGTGTTGCCCAGTTGTCATTTTCACACAATGAATGTTATTATTCATTGTGTTCAAAACATTTGCCAAATTGTTCTGTGATCATGTGTTTGTGATCATGTGCACTTCTGCGTGCATGTTACTAAAGAACACACTGGGTCCTTTTGTGCCATTGAGCTGCAGCTTAGCGTGTTCAGCATGATAACTATTTTTGAAACGTGATCTTAAACATTCTCAGCATGAAGGCCATCACTGTCATCATCATCATCACTATTATCTTCAACGTCAACCAGCTTCACATGTAGTCCATCACCTTTAGGCAAATGTAAAGTGTTGGTTAGTTTTTAGAAACAAACTACTCATGCTTGATTATGATTGTCTAACACGTTTCTGAGCAGATTAGTGGTGTGTGCGTGTGCGTGTGCGTGTGTGTGTGTGTTTGTAAACTGTAGCTCTCTTCCTACTCCTGTTATTTCTCCTCCTCCTGGAGAGTGAGTTTCAGGATGAGGTCTGATGCCCTGATCCTGCTCTTCTGTTTGTCTTTGGGATTCCTCTGTGATGCTTATGTTCTCCAGCAGGGGGACAATGTGAGTGAAACCAAGAGCTCCCTGGAGCTGCCTGTCCTCTGGGATGAGCTGCAGGGTCTCACAGAACTGGTGCTGAGCCTGAGGGCAGAGGCCGTGGAGAGGCGTCAGCTGCTGAGGACACTGGAGAGTCGGCTGAGGGACAGAGAGGAAGAGGCGGAGCACCTGAGCCAGCAGAGGGCAGAACTGAGCCAACAGAGAGTGGAAATGAATCAGCTCCTGTCAGACCTGAGGAAGACCTTGGAGGAGCAGAAAGGTGGGTCAGAAGGGTGGATGCAGTAACATCAGGTGTCTGCAGCTGTAGATTAGAATAAGTTCTGTAGTGTAGGTTTATGTGCCGTCTGGTGGAAAAGCTACAGAAGATGGTACATAGTTTTCCTAACCTTTGAATCTGTAAATGTTGGAGCTGAAGGCCTGTTTCATCATGTTGTCCCCATCTCAGATCAATCGTGGAAAATGTCCACACTGCAGATGAGGCTGAACACCAGCGAAGGAGCTGTGGAAGAACTGAAGAAGAAAGGCACAGGTGATGTTGAAATAGTTTTCTAATACTACATATAACTACTGGTTGAAGTAGTTTTTTACTGACTGTCCTTGCAGCACTGGCAGCTGAGCTTCCGTTCCTGCAGACACGATTAAGAGCCAGTGAACGCACAGTGGAACAGCTGAGGAGGGAGAACACAGGTCCGTGTCATTTTCATGATAATCCTCCTGATCATAATCAAACGTAGTCGTCATCTTCCTGTACTGTGTACACTGACTCTGTGTTTTTGTTAGTTCTCTCTGTGAGGCTCTGCAGGGCTGAGACATTTATGGACCAACTGAGAAGACATGTGTCAGGTCAGACAGACTGTCATCCTCCCTTTCTACCTTATCTCTCTGTCTATGTCTCAGCTTGTTTTCAAACTACCTCTGTCTCCCGGCTCCTGTCTCACTCTCTTGTCCAGTGTGTAACAGTTCAAGTGATGACTCTGAAAACCAAGTGGAGCAACTGACAACAGAGCCTGAAGGTGACGGTCGTGACTTTATTTGTGGTCCAACCAGACTTTGATTGTTTCATTTTCTGCAGGTGTATAAAATCCGGTCCTTTTAAAGTAAATTTTAAAGACGTCTTTGACTCTGTACCAGACAGTGTTTCAGCGCTGACGGAAAGACTGAACAACAGTGAGCGACAACTGGGCGAGCTACAGAGGTCAAGCTCAGGTGACCAAACAGCCACATCAACTGTCCTCAGTGTATAGAAAAGTTTATAAATACACAGGAAACAGTCAAATAAAAACTAGAGATTTTGTAGAAAAAAAATACCTAAAGAAAAATGTCAAAGATCTAAACATTTTCCTGAAGAATTCTTCAACATCCTTTTCTTCATTTATAGATATGATGAGTCGCCTGAACATCTGTGAAAAAAGTCTGGAAAAACTTGAGTCCAACCACACAGGTGTGTAGCAAATGGTTGATTGAAAAAAACAATAAGTTTGAATCTGTTTTAAGATACATATTTGTAATCGATGTGACATCAGTGTTTAACACAAGAATTTTATCTTTGTTGCATCTAGTTTAAATTATTATGAATTATTATTTTAGTTCAGTTTAAGCTACACATCACTGACAAACACTTAGAATCTATGAAGACAAAACAATCAGGTTTTAAAAATTGTAACAATCAATAATCATGTAATAAAAATCCCTTTAACAGAAGGCCCAGTAGAGCTGTAGAAAAACTGCTGCTGGTTTGTTTCTGAAACATTCTTTTCTGTTCAGAGTTGCAGGTCAGAGTGAATGTTGGTGAGGAGCATCTGAAAGATCTGGCAACCAAACAAACAGGTGACAAAAAACGCGCTCCATGTCTGAAGCCAAAGAGTAGTGACCATAGTTTACTGTTGTGTTTTACACTTGTGGTTTTTAATAACATGAAGACCTGGTTACAGGTGGTTATGTTGAGCTGTTGGCTGTAGTCCTCAGACTAAACAGCAGCGTGGAGCAGCTCGATCAGCGAAGTATGCAGAACAAAGGTGAAGCCTTCAAAGATGTCCACTCATCTGTGGCCTCAGAGTCGTGTCTAGTTTGTCAAATAATGTCAATGTTTTCAGATGCTGTAGTGAAACTAGAATTTGTGACAAAAGACGCGGCCTCTGATGATACAATGATGACTGAGCGACGCTCTGAAGGTAACACCCAAAGTTTGCGTTCAGTTTTGCTGACAGCTTTTGTTCTTTCTAATGACTCATTCAGCATTACTCCCTGTCAGAGCTGGAGGTCAACCTGTCGGCTGTTCAGTCTGCAGTGAGAGAATTAAAGGGAAATTATCTGGAAGATATGATGAAAAAACAAGAAGGTCAGACTGTGGAGACTCTGCCACTGCACCAGAATCAGAAACACTGAACTGAAACCTCAGCGAGGATCTGTGGAGAAACCCTTGTCTCTGTTTGTCTGTGTCTGAATTGTTCAGAGTTGGAGGTCAGAGTCAGTGTCGGTGAAGAACAGCTGGAACGTTTAACAATAAAACAAACAGGTACAAAACTCTGGAAGATCCATAATGGTTCTGTGAGGAACAAGTTCAAAACCAAAAAACAAACAAACAAAATAGCATTTATGTTTTAACTGCAGGAGGTCAAGCCGAGCTTTCAACTGTGATGGGGAAACTGAATCACACAATAGAGCAGTTGGATCTGTTGACCACAGACCACAGAGGTTAGAGCCAGTGTGGTTGTTCCTCATCTGTTTAAATCTGATATTGGCAAATCCTGATGATAATGATGGTGATTTCAGTGGCAGTGGTGAAACTAGATTTTGTTTCGGAGAAAGCAGAAGAAGCTCAAAGTCTGGCTAAAGGTAATGATGAAGAATTTCATTTGAATCCTGGAGCTGTGATTGTTTTCTCCATGACTCCGATCTGCTTTCATTTCTGCTTTTAGAGCTGCAGGTTCGTCTGTCAACTGCTGAGTCTGCAGTGAGCAAAGTTAGGGAGAACAGTGAAGGTAAAACATAAAACACACACTAAAGCATGTGTGTGCTGAATCCTCTGGCCCTCCGACCCCCCCGACCACTGCGACATTCCTTAAAATGTATAATTTGACCTCACATCTGAACTCCTGTGTTTTTTACACCTGAGCGGTTGTTTATGCAGAGTTAGACGTCAGAGTAAATGTTGCTGAGAAACATCTGGAGGATCTGACCACAAAACAAGCAGGTAAATAAAATGTATGGTGTGAAAGTGTCAGGGCTCGAACATGGCACCCAGAGGAACACCAAGCAGAAACATGTCTCAATTATTTTTCTCATCTGATTTGTTCATTTTAATTCCAGTTGGCCAGACTTTGCTGTCAGCTATGACCCTCAGACTGAATGACACTGTGAAGCAGATCGGTCATCTGTTCACACAGAGTGAAGGTAGGGTCATATATGTTGCCCGTTGCTGCACCTCCTGCATACATTTAGTCTTTGACCTATTCATTATTTAGAAACAGTGGAGAAGTTGGATTCTCTCTCAGAAAGAACAGCAACAGCCCACACACAGTCTGAAGGTAACACTCACATCCATACCTGTTTATTGTAAGTGTTTGTTTGTTTCATGACTTATGCCGTTGTTACTTCCTGTCAGAGTTACAGGTCCGTCTGCGGGCTACTGAGGCCACAGTAAACAGCCTTACTGAGAAAAGTGAAGGTAAGATGTTCAAAACCAACCTGGCAGTTTGAAAATACCCCGTTTGTCTGTTGTTGCTGGGCCTCTGTGTCCACGTGGACTTCTAAGGCTGTTGTGTTGTGACGTCAGAGTTGTGGTGGAGGCAGAACGCCACTGAGCAGCAGGTGAAAATCAACACTGAAGGTAACAGGGATTATTAAATGATGTAAATCCAGGGTTTTAATTATGAATACCAATGTGAGAGAGTTTTTGCTTTTAAAATGTCGTGTTTATGTCAGATGCATTCGTCAAAATGAGTCACAGCCACGCGCAGCTTCAGGAGCAGCTCCTAACACAAAACTCAGGTGAAACGTCATCATCTTCATCTTTTCAAATTGAACTCTTAGATCAAATATTGATCAAAATGGGACACTTTCTGTTTACAGTTTTAGGGAAAAGACTGCAAAACTCTGAAAGTCTGATGATGTCAAGCCTGCAACTACATGTCTCAGGTGACTCACTGTTCACGGGCAGATGTCATTTTTTATTATTTATCTGAGGTGCTGTAAACGTCGCATAATATTTTTGATCTTTAACCATCAGATTTAAGCTTCAGACTGAATGAAAGTGAGCATCGGCTGCAGCAGCTGCTAAACCACAGCTCGGGTAAGACACTAGCATGCTGCTATGCTACATTACTATACAAAAACAATATAACAATAACCTTCCAGCGACCTTTCTGATAACCTTTCTGAAGAAAGACTCTTTATTACTAAAACACAAGTAAGATGCTACGATAATACGCCAGCAAGCTACCAATATGAAACTAGCATCCTAACATGCACAAACACTGGCAGGCTTTCTTACTAAATTACAGGCTATTATGCTAAAACATCACCACTGTACAAGGCTTGTGTGCTACAATTCTAAAACATTAGCGTAGCACTACTCTTGCACTCCACCAATCTACATTTGTGACATGTTAACTATATACAAACGTAAACATGTTGTTTTCTCAATGAAACTGTTTGCAATTCCTAGGTGACCTGAAGGTGGCGTTTTCTGCTGCTCTCACTGATTCAGGATCAGTTGGACCCTTTGATCAAGAGACAACTTTGATTTTCTCAAAAGTATTCAGTGCCGTGGGTGGAGCCTACAACCCAACTGAAGGTCCAGTACATGAGAGTGTTAAATGACAGGTGATGTCACAGGAAGTGAATAACGGTTGGTATGTTTGTACCTCAGGTGTTTTCACAGCTCCTGTCAGAGGCATTTATTTCTTCAGCTTCACAGCAGCAGACTTCCTGAAAGGCTACATGGGTCTCTACCTCTACAAGAACAACCAGCCAATCATTTTCAACCTCAACCTCAACGATCACGGCGGCTACGCTTCTACATCCAGCAACATGGCTCTGCAGCTCGAGGAGGGCGATCGCGTTCACCTCACTTTGCCGGCGAGTTACCGACTCTATGACGACTCGCGCAACTTCAGCATTTTCTCTGGTTTCCTGCTGTTTACACTCTGATCGTCCGACTTTACACATTTTACATTTATGTGGGTATTTGATCAGAATTGTCAGGGATGCACAGCATGGACGGATGGATGGATGGATCAGTGTTGACACGTACTGTATTAATGACTAATTAGTTGATGCAAACATGTATATTTTCAACCACATGGACATTGTGATTACGTTGACAAATTGACCGACCAGCTTTAAGATTATAGGAAAAGGCAAACAGGAAATTATACCTGAATGTTTTATTAAATTTAGCCAAAAATGACAAACTGACTGTTTGATCCAGATTTCAATTCCACAAACCCATACGTCGTGTTCACTAAAAATGTATAAGACTGAGAGTGATGTCATACAGTATAACAACAGGTCATGTAAAGTTTGTTCAAAGCAAAAGTCAAGTTTTTACAGTAATAATTCAGACATCAGTAATCCTCCAGATTAACACTGAAGTGGCTGTTCACACATCCCCTCCAAAAAAGAGAGGATGCTGAACAGAAAGAAAATGATCCAAAGTAGTGAAAATGTTTCTTAGTTAAGTTTGTAAAAAATATTCATTCATCACTGGTTCAGTCGCCCTGACGTTGTCTCTGAGTGTTAAAAGTGTATAAAAAGAAAAGCTGGAGGCAAAAAAAGAAGAAGGTGAGGAGTGTCGTTTAGCATGTGTTGCTGTTGATCTTCTTGTGCACTGCCTGCAGGAGTAACAGAGAATACTCCTCCAGGAGAGCAGCTGTCTTCACCTCTCCCACTCCTGCTAGTTTTCCATGACCTCCCAGCATGCTCGGGGCATCCATTGGGAGGCACTCCAGCTCCGTCCTCATGGCCTGGAAGGCCTCTGACAAAAGGACAGCCATTTGGTGCTGATCTGAGGTGGAGCTCTCATTACAAGAGGCACTCACCTGCAATAGGAGAAGACAAACAAACAAAACTCAGTCTCCCTCAGATCCTTTTACTACACCAGGGTACCTTAAGGACCGTGGTATCTATGACAACATTAATGTTTCTCCTGAACTTCTTAGGTTATCAAAGGTCACAGGATTTTTCTTTCGGATCATTCATCAAAATCTAAAGAGCTCTAAGGAACTTTTATGTGTTTTCAGGGTCCCTCAAAATCACTTGGACTTGGATTCTTTAGCACCTTCCAGATTCTTCCAAGTTGTCTTTGATCCCACTCTCTGGTTTCCCCTGGTGTCTTCAGATTAATTCAAGCTGCTTTGAGAAACTCCCCACAAGGGTCTTCAGTTTTTTTCAGGTTCCCTTGAACATGACTTACGAGATCACAGCTAAGATTTTCAACAATCTTTGATAATTACCTTTCTGTATATGTGTGTTGCTCTCTTAAAGCAGCTCTGCAGCTCATTGGCCATAGCCCTGCAGCTCTCAACACTGATTAGCTGGTCTGCACAGAATGGAAACAGAAGCAGAAGGTAAAGACATTTAGTAGTGACAAAACATGGAAGAAACTGTCTTTACACAACTTTTCACAGAAAAACCTCCTAAATAAGTTAATAATGGATGACACAACTCAGACTGGTTGACATTAAGTCCTAAGAGGAAAGAACAGACCACGAACATGATGGAGGAAGTAAAGATAGGATAGTACTGAGCAATGTGAAGACAACAGGAGAGCATTTAGAACATCTCACCAATCACTGTGATGATGAACAAGAGGGTGAGGAAGAGGAGGGTGGAGCCAGAGCGCAAACAGAGAGATGACAGGATGAAGGTATCAAAAGGAGGAGGAAAGTCCAAACCTGAGTCATCACTTTGCTCTGCACTGGTGTCTACAGAAGTCTGAAGTCCCTCCTTCTTCTCCTCCTGCTGTGCTGGCTGTGGGGACAGGGGGGAGACAGAGACCGGAGAAGGACGGCTTGTGGCTGACGAGGACGCTGCCACAGCTTTGGGTGACGGAGAGAAAGATGCAAGTGAGGGTTTGTCTGGAAGTGGTTTGCTGCTGCTGGACACCCGAGCCTGGAGGCCGCGTGTACAGGGGGCGCTCTGGGTACAATGGTTCCCCAGACTGGAAGACAAACAGGGGGCGACAACAGGGACCACAGCAGCGTGAGGGGCCACCATGGAGGGAACCACAGCAGCCAAAGGAGGTGGAGTGTCTTTGACCTGAGGACACGACGGTACAGCTGATGACAGAGAAGACGAGGCTGTGGCTTCGTCACAGGATTCAGGGAGGTCCAGGCCGTCGCCCATGGAGACGGAGCGTGACATCTTGGCCATTGAACTGGCAGTGGGGCTCATGTAGGAGCGAGATGCTGCCGCTGAGGAGGAAGAGGAGGAAGACTTTCTCGGTGTGGTAGCAGCAGAAGGCGTAGGGGCTGTGTCCAGCTGAGGGGACCTGGGTGATGTAGGAACAAGTCTCTGTGCTGGTAGAGAGATGGAAGATGGGGGACATCTGGGGGAGGAGGGGAGGGTGGTGGGACGCTGCTGAGTAGAAAAAACCTGAGGGGAGACCTCTTTGGATGGACGTGAGGTCGACTTGGGCAGAGACACATCACCTGAAGAACAGAAAAAAATAAAAAGGTTTACTGTACATTAGTTTGAAGGCAGAAAAGTCAGTGACAAGTAAGAATGTTGATGTTGAAGAGGTCTGACCGAGGACTGGAGTTCTTTTTGACCTACTTTCTTCTTCTAAATCTTAAGTAAAATATAATTTTATGCATATTTAAATAAGGTTATTTCTGGAAACCATAAAAGAGGTTCAAACCCCCAAAAGACCACTGTATGAAGTCATATTTCACACTCAAACTACATAGAGTAAAAGCATCATCTGTACCATTCTGACAGTGAGGACTTAACATTGTCCATGTTGCCATCTTGTCATTTTACCTGAGTCACTCAGCAGACTCTGCACTGACTGGGCCTTCCGAAGTCTCCCAGTGGAGTTCATGTGGGAGGCAGCAGCCTGGGCTGTGGGGCCAAAAATGATTTTGGACTCCATTGTTGTCTGAGTCTTCTTCTTGAGTGGGGAGTGCTTTTGGGAGGCGTCTTCCTCTTGACTTTGGCTCTGCGGCTGATCAGTAGTATGCTGGTGGAGGATGCTGGCATTAAGAGGTTGTGCTTGGTCATTATCACGTTTGGTCAGGGTTTGACTGGGGTTCTGATGTAAGGATGTCAGGTCCTCTGTTTGATTTGGCTCTGGGTCCCACGATATTTTTCCGTCTTGGGTCTTGGTCTGATTTTCCTCGATTAGTGGACGGACCTCAGAGACCAAAGGGTTGGGCTTCACATCTGCTCCGACTACACCATTTGTCCGCGATGGCAGAGGTAACACAGTCCGGCTGATGGTTAGAAAAGAAACGTTCAGTGACCTTTGACCCAAGGCAACAACAATCTAGCAGCTGTGATGTTTTTTTTCCTTTTACCTTCCAGCTGAATTCTGGGACAGGAACCTGGAGGAGATGCTGAGACTTTCAGTGGAACTGTGACTAGCTTTGCTTGGACTCCCTGAAACACAGTCATGTACACAGAGGTGCCTGAGTTCAGGTAGTTGTTGGTGGATGTTAACACTGAAGGGTGTTGTTCATACAGTGTAGGGCGGCTGTACCTGAGAGGTCAGACAGGGTGACAAAGTGCTCTTTGAGAAAAGCTTCCTGGTCTGGAGTCTGAGGGACTGGCTGAGAGAGTCCGCCTCCTTCATTACCATCGTTATCTTCTACTTCCTGCTCAGAGGAGTTTCCGTCCACACTGAGTACCTCAGTCTGGTCTGAGTCTGAGAGCAAGGGGGACAAAAAATTAAAAAAAAACAGACTGAAGCTGACAGGGGCAACTAACAAATTGTCTCGGTCTCACCGTCTCCAGCAGGGGCATCTGGACTTGACAGTCTGGAGCTGAAAGCCAGGGAGCAGCCACTGTCTGGACTGGGTTTGTCCTGCCGTCTGCCAGGAGTAGGAGGACACACCTCCTTCACCTGAAACTCACTGACAGCAGAAGATAGGATTTAGGGGGACGAGGCGGGGGGGCAGGATTTATGTCAAAACGTAAGGAAATCACTCTCACCTGCCTGCCAGACTCACTCTGTCCTCCCATTGGTCTGGATACAGAACTGGGTCATCTGTTTCTGGGCTATGGTTTGACAGGAGGATAAAGTGTGGCCTCTGATTGGTCATCGCCTCTTTCTCCACCTGCACAGACATAAACACACAGGTCTGACATCGTGGGAGTGCAGTGTTCCTGACTGTGTTAGACTTGTGTGTTAGACTTGAATTGAGTGTGTGAGTGAGACCTGCAGACTAACTGTGCTCCCCAGCTCCAGAGTAGCTTTCTGCAGCACAGCCTCCTCATCATGACTCTTCCTCCTGCCATCGTCATCAGGACAGAAGGAGTCCAGCTGTCTGAGGTCTAACATTGACTTCACCATCAGAACACTGTCACCACCCAGCCTCCTAGACCAGCGGCGACGGGGGAGACGACCTCCTGACCCCTGTAAACCCCCCACCTTTCCATCATCTTCGTTGGTGGTAGTTTCAGCAAACAACTCTGCCGAGAACAAGAAAAGACTTGCTAAAGGCTAATAAAGCAATAAATGCTGAGGTTTAATTGGTAGCAAATTGGTAAAGGTATCATGATATCACCAAACCTGTGTCTTCTTCCACAATTTTTGCTGTAACTGTATTTCGACGACCAGGCTCCTCCTCTTCATCCTCTTCATCTTTGTCACTGTCAGAAGACATGGTGACGACTCGAGGAGGCGCCGTCCTGCTGGACAAAAGAGTAATTAGTTTTATATATATATACATACACACAGTATATACATATACTTTTTGTGTGAAACAACAAAAAGTATATGTATATAGTGTATACTAATTCAATCTTTTACTGTAAATAATTACACATTATTAAAATGTTTTCACTAAGCAAGCGAAAGTTTTCTTGTCATTTTCTAACCAGTATGAGTAGACGCACACAGACCTGAGGATGGCAGCAGTGGGCGGAGGCACAGGTTGTGGTCGGCTGTTACTGTCGGCTGATCTGAGGTCAGAAAGTCGCTGCCTCATTCTGAGGGTCAGCTCTGGACTGAGACGCCACACAAAGATGCAGCTGCACATAAACAGCAATACCATTAATACCACCACCACCATAATCATCATCATCATCATCATCTTCATCATGACATCTTAACCTCTACTATATACACAGAGAAACAAATGTCACAGCTATGACATCTGAGCTGCAGGTTTTGTATTAAAATCTTTTACACAAAAACTTAGTGAAAGGACGTTTGACTTTTTACATCAAACTCTGATCAGATTTTTTTTCATTTAATTACCTTTGTGTTTGTTGTGCACATATATGAAGTATAAAAAGAAATAAGGCTGTACCTGTCTCCAGAAACAGTGATTAGGTGTCTGCAGTCATTGCTGAACTTCAAACCTGTAACTATTTCTGAAACACACATTTAACAGCAATCAAATGTTGGCATCATCTACTGACAAAAGAATCTAAAACATTAACAACACAGAGCAACGTGATTGTTAGGTTCTGACCTGAGTGTCCAAATATGGTGGCCACACACTCTCCAGAGTAAAAATCAAAAATACTGATGTTTTTGTCTGAACAGGAGGTGGCAATGTAGAGTCCAGATGGATCAATCTGAACCTGGGACGAGCACAAGCACAGTTTCCATCAACATCTGGCAACAGACAACATCTGAGTTGTGCTGTCGCTGTTACAGACGCAACAACAGCTTCAAAAAGCATACCCATTGTTTGGCTACCTTAATTAGCACGTCACATTTTGGTACACGATTAGCTAGCTGGTTTAATGCTGTGTGCTGTGATTGGCCATGTTGTTTAGCACCTGATGGTTAGCTATGATGAAAAGCACACCATGTCCAGCTCCATTTATTAGTTTTGTGTTATTTAGTTACCTTGATTAACACGTAATGTCTAGATAACTTGATGAACACGTGATGCTAAGCTACCTTGATTAGCGTGCCGTCTTCTCCCTGTGAGCCTTTGTAGAGTTTCTTCTGTTTCCCGTTGCTGATGTTAAAGATTCTAAAGACAGAGGAAATCTCTGCTGTAGTTGGACTAATACTCTGAGTATTATCATCAATATTCACTTTACTAATACTCCAGCTAATCGCAGTAACACTTACCTGATGCTACGGTCCTGACAGCCAACAGCTGCGTACTTCCTGGTCGGTTCCACATCCATGTCATACAGAGTCGTCTTCCTGACCACATGATGAGTCCGGGTGAATTCCAGCCCTGCCTGACCCTAACCACACCCCACACCCCCAGATGAAAGAAGGTTAACAGGATCTGAGGTGCGACGTCTGGTCAGAACATGCTGTGATGTCACTGCGGTCTCACGATGACGTCACTTACCTGCTGAGCTGTACGGAAGTAAACGCTCTTATCAGCGCCACAGCTGATCATCCTCACTTTACCCTCATTAGCTGAGAAAATGAAGGAGGCAGCGCCATCACAGGTTAGGAGAGGTTAACAGCAGGTAAGAGTCACAGCTCTAATTAAACCAAATTAAACTATTTAAATGTAAGTTAAAGTAAATAGTACTTTGTTCAACAGTAACTAACCAGCAAATCGTACAGCTGTGATGGAGGAGGAGTGTTCATCCAGGGTCTGAACCAGACTGAATTCCTGAGCAGCGTCTAGAACATGGATTAACCGATCACGACTTGCTGTGGCCAACAACTGGAGGCCTGAGGTCATATGACACGGAGAAAAAGAAAAAGTTATAGACTTTATTAAAGTAAATGATGTCACAGCTGCTGTAATAGAGGGAATTAACAGGCTGCTTCTCACCTGTGTCAGGTTTAGAAAACTCTAAGCAGAGAATCTCTGAGTCATGAGCCTGGACGTTCATTATCTCCTCCATACTGTCCACGTCATGGATCCTGCAACACAAACAAATCCAATGTCTAGAACATTGAAGAAGAACTACACATACAAACTGAAACTTAAAGATATCAGCTGGAGCTTAGAACTGTGTTTATCTCCACTCTCTCCTACCTCAGCACACCCTTGCGGTCTCCAGAGGCCAGGTGCTGTCCATCAGGACTGACCTTCAAAGTCCTAATGCCTGTTCTGATCTGGTCAGACTGCTGACCCTCTGATGACCCGACCTTCTCACTGTTAACACTGGCCGTGGCAACGCTTTCTACATCCAGGACAGAATTCAAGTTGTCGTCCACGTAGACCATCTTCTGCAGATCCTGAGGGTTGAGGACAAAGTCAGAGTCATTCTGGGTGTGGTTACAAACAGACAGGTGAGGTTTTAGGTGTAGCTTTCATACATGGCTGAGGATGTTCTTGTGAAGAACATTGTTGTCGTCCAAGTTCCACAATCGGATGGTGTTGTCCGACGAGCACGACAGGAAGGAGGAGGGAGGCAGACTTCCTGTTCCCTCTGGTGACACCTGCAGGTCACACAGCATGTTTTCAGCTGAGTGGCTGTTTCTAAACTTTAATAATAAAAACACACACACTTGCTCCGACTTACCTCCACACTCCACACGCAGGAGGAGTGGTAGAGGGCCGAATAAAGTTTTCCTGCCCTGCGAGGCTCTCTGAGGTCACGGATGTCCCAGACATAAACGCTGTGGTCATTGTAAACACAGGACAGCCAGCGGTTCGTGGGGTCAAATGTCACAGCTACTGTATCAGGGTAGCGAGCATCGGGCCTGCAGGAGAACAGCTGACTAAAGGGAGGAGAGGTGGAAATGGAAAGAGCAGCGATGACAAGTTAACACATGTTTGTGTGTGTCAGTGTGTTTGTTTGCGTGCGCTTGTTACCTAGCATCCACCATTTTGCTGATGTCAGCACCCAGAAAATGTGGGCGGGGCAGTGTGAAGAGGAAGTGCAGATTGATGGGACTGAAAGCTCGAACTGTCCCATCAGAACAGCCACAGAAGATGACATCATCAGCGACAGAGAGGGAGGTGGCCTGAGACGTCTGAGACACAGAGATGGGGAGGGATGGGCGAAAAAGAGCGGGAAATAGAGAGAGATAGTGAAAATGCGTCAGTTTGTGTTTGTAAAACTCCAGTTTTATGGTGACATCGACATTGATCTCCTCAATGTCGGTGCTCCATGTTCCATGTTATTTAAGAACATCTGTCTGTGTTTATGTGTCGGAAAAACATGAGCAGTAGTTGCTAAATATAAAAATGAGGATATGATTATTTTTAAAATACCACAAAGATGACAAAAACACAACCCAATATTAAGCATTCAAGAGTGCAGTGTCAAGCTAACGTTTTTTGTTGTTGCTAACAGCATCATTTTAAAAATGCTAACAGTTTCAAGTTTCAAAGTGTAGCTATAATTGGTATCACTTAAAAACACATTATGGTTGAATATAGTCACTGTTAGCATCATTTAAACTGATGAACTGATGCTCTTAGAGAACTGCGTTGCTACTGTTAGCCTTGAGGCTGCATTTCAGGTGAGGAGTATGTTGATGAGTGACAGCAGTGGGATGTGAGTTTGACCAATGGAGTGAGAATTGTCTGTCAGTTCAGCCAATATGAAGAGAGATTGACTAGGTACACATGACATCATCAGTAAGAGTTGTGATGTCACAGGCTTAACTGACAGACACCAAAATACAACTTACTGAGGCCGAGTCGATTCTCTGCGCACGAAGCAGAGGGGGAAACAAATAGAACCTTCAAATTAAAAGCCTGTATTCATTTAAAATTAGAAGAAATAACATATTTAAGTTTTAATGTATAGAAATATTATTTTATAAAAAAAGAATAAAGTCATTACTAACAAAGACACACTGAAGTTCATCCATTTCTGCTCCTATCAGAAAAGCTCACACCAAACCAGGTGTTAGAGCAGTAATGCCAAAGTCACCCTGACATAAAATCACTGATGAACTGTGAATTTTGCCCTGGGAGAGTGACTTGCTAACATACCTCAGCTATGTACAATGAAGCAGTGAAAGCAATTTTCAATTTTATCTCATGTGAAATCTACACATTGAACACTTGGTTAAGTGGTAAAACTAGATTTCCTGCATTTTATTTCTAACACACTCAAGATAATGTACTTTTATCAGCTAAGCTAGTGTTTCTACTGAGAGCACGGCTTTTGGTGTGTGGTCTAATCTTGCACAGTTGCCCACAACAACATTCGAAGGTTAAAACATGATTGTTATTGTTGTTCATGCACTGCCTCAGGGGCCGACTTCAACTGTAGGACGTGTGAACTCTGACTCACCCTCAGCTCGACCCACTTGTCAAGAAGCCGTCTGTCATTAAACTCGCACAGTAAACCTGAGGAAGTGATACAGAAGGTGGAGGAGGCGTGGCGGCCCCGCCCACAGGCCACATCGCTGAAGAAGTTGTTCCTGAGTTCTCCCAGGAGTCCCGAACGCCCGAGCAGAGGCACCGTGGCATTCACCTGCACAGACACTCAGATAATGAACACACGACCTTCCTGGCCTCAGCCTACCCTCGATTCACCCCTCAGCCTCCACCCACACACCTACCTTGGAGGTCTTGGCGTGGTCCAGGTACCAGAACTTGACGTGACGGTTCCCCGCTGTAACGAAGTAGGAGCTGTCGTCAGAGAAGGAGACGGCTGTGACTTTACTGGAGACTTTGTTGGCGGCAACCACCACATTTTTCTGGAAGAAGAAGAACAATAACACCTGGTCAGTCTCCAAATCTCAGAAATCTCCAAACATCACTGCAGAAGGTGAAGATTGGAATAGCAGAGATGTAGAGAAATAGATTAGGGATTTTAAAAATACAACTTTGTATGTAAAACCAGTGTAATACTTCCTGGTACCTTCCAGTTCCAGACATTGACCATCATGTCATGTTGATACCCAACACTGACGATGTACTTCCCGTTCGGAGAAAACGTCACACAGGAGATGCCATATTTATGTTCCTGTAGCTCTGCCACCTGGAGGCGCTCTGACACATCCCACAACCGCACCGCCGGCATGTGACCGCTCTGACAGAGGAGGTCCATATGTAAGTGATGTCATCATTATCATCAAAAAATATCCTCATCAGTCCTATCACCAGTGATGCTCACCTCTCCAGTGACCACATATTTACCATCAGGGGAAAACGCTAGTGTGGTTATCGCCTTCCTGAAAACAGGCAAAAATACACAAATCACATGACTAGCTGACACAGACGCATGAAATACTTGTCTGTGATTGGTTGATGGAGTTTCTACCTGGAGCTGTTGAAGATGTGTTGCTGTTTGTTCTTTCGAGGATTCAGGAGGACGGTGACACACCTGCAGACACACACACACACACACACACAAAAAGAGATTTTAAAAACCAACTGGAAATCATCAGTCATGAAAATACTTCTGTTTAAAAATCTTTTCTAAATTAGTTTATGTAAACGCAAAACCATTGCATCTGTTAAATCTCTGTCTTGACATCCTCTAACGTGTTCCTCCTTCAGGCACCAAAGAAGTAGAATTCTCAACATGACCTTTTCTAAAATCTGTCCTACGTTTGACTTCACACGGGGGAGGTGGCCGACCATGATGTTTCAACCCTTTATTTAAACTCTTTTTTCGGCCTTTTAGGTCTGTGTATTAGAGATTAGCATTAGCTGCAGCGTAAACACCAGGCTGAATGAAGCCATGTGTAAACCTCTACATGTGTGTGTGAGTGGAAGTGCAGCTGAGTCAGCAGCCAATTATTTTCTTCTACATGAACACACACGTGGAGACACACGTACACACACGCACATACACAGCCATCTGCAATGCAGCAAAGAGCGTGAGGTGCACTGAAACTAGCAGCAGCTGATCTCTCTCTCTCTCTCTGTTTTCTTTTTGTAATCCATTTTAAGAAGAACACATATAATACTATATAATTATTTTACTTGTGTGCCCTGATTGTGTTCTCACACCATCTCATCAGTCACATGTCTCCTCCCTCACCCTCTCTCCATACATTAACCTACATTCCTGCCTCACAGCTGCACTGACCCACTTCTCTTCACTGTGTCTTTTTTCTCAGGCCTGCTGTTGATTGGCCGGTTTCCACGTTGCGCCCTCTGACATTCCCATCATTCCTGTGGACTCCGACTCATAAAGACAATGATACTGACAGAGGCGGAGCCGAGTCTGGCCTCCGACCTGTGACGTCACTGATCTGTCTCCATAAAACAGATTAACATCTCTTTGAAAAGCGAGTGGAGCACCAAAGTCCATAGAGAAAATAAAGGATTTTACATCACAGGACGCTGGAGAAGTTGATCTACTGCTGCCTCCATCACTACTTTGTATCATTACCTAACCTTAGCCACATTGCTTTGTTTTAGAATTCCTTCAGCTGTATCTTGATTAACGTGTCACCACCTTTCACTGTCTTTGCTTGTACTGACCTTTAGCCAAGAACTGACTGCCTTCTTTTGATCACTTGTAGCTAACCCTGGGTCATGTTTCCCTTCTGGCTCCATTTTGATAATGTTTTGATAGCTTCTAACTGACTTTCTTATTTTTAATAATTACTGTGTTTTTCTTTTTTCATTTAACATTGCTTTATCATAATTTTCGCAGTAAGATTACGTTCATTACACCACAGTAAAATCTTTCAGAACATGTTCAGTCTTGTCGTGTGGCAGCCATATGTTCATTGATAGCCTGTGGTTCTCACACCTGTTCTAGCATTAGGGGGCGCTCACAGTAATGCACACTGAGTTAATGTTCACAGTTGAGACAGAGTCACATGTCAGTTTAACTGGTTACGCCGCTGGTTTTAATGTGATTTATTCAGCGGACTAAAAAAACAACCGGAGCTGAAGGAGAAGCTGACAGGAGATCAGCTGACTCAGTCTCATGGTAAACATTAGTAATGTTTGTGTGTGTTTGTGTGTGAGTGTATAATCTGATAATCTGCTCATGTCGGTAAAGTTTGCATGAATTTTCATTAAGGCTCTGCAATGCCTACAAATAATCTGTTGAAGATTTTATTTCAGATTTAATTTTGGCTTGTGTCTGGGAGAAATATCTGTTCAACTCCAATTATGTTGATCTGCTATGGAAATGAAGGAAAATACAAGCAGAAATGTCACATTTTGCACATTTCAAAAACTCCAATCACTTTGTTTTTGAAATGTGCAAAATGTGACATAGACTGTACACTGTACAAGAATATTATTTGTTTAATGTTGTTTTCTATTTTCTTTCAAAACTCTCAAATCTTATGGGAATAAATAAAGTGAAAAAATATTTTTAGAAATGTTCTAAGTTGATGTGTTGTTTGGCTGAAAAGTTACAGGTTCTCACCCTGCAGGATAAGCCAAGAGTCCAGTCCGTGGGTCACAGGCCAGAGCCCGATTTCCTGCTGCTGTGATTCCTAGTACTTTTTCCAAGACCACCTGCAACAGAGAGGTCAAAGGTCACAAGTCATAAAATACAAGTCTAAAGGTCAGAGACAAAGATAAAGGTCACAAGTTTGGGACAAAGAAACAGGTCAGATCCTTTTATTAAACAGACCCCATAAAACAGCTAATAAAACCTAAGTGTCCAATCAGAGCTCTGCTCGGACTGTTACACTAGATCAGCTTTAAGGTTCTGGACCTGCATCTTGGTCAGTAAAGATCCAGGTTTGCACAGTGTCTGGGTCTGATAGAGGTCTAAGGGGTACAGGATAATGGGTTTAGATTGTTCTTATTTTTATATATTATATATATATTATTTTAGGTCTATGGGTTTTAGGTCTATAAAGCTGTGGGGTGTGGTACTGTCATGGGAGCATGGTTCTATACATGGGTTTTTAGCCTTGTACAGTTCAGTTGTAGGTTGTTCCAGGCCTACAGGAGTCAGAAAGGCAAACTTAGTTTGACATTAACAGGTTGCTCACATACAAACACAGAGAGGTAAGCCCTCCAGTTATAAACAAGAACAACCAGACTGACAAGATACAGACTGTTTACATCAGTAGACACGGATCTCAACAAGGATCAGGATCAGGACAAGGATCAGGACCAGGACCAGGACGATGCTTAAGATCCAGATGCTACAGATTTATCCCACACTACTGTTAATGTCTGATAATTTAAACAGTGTTTGGGTCTTCATAAGTGAACTGCAGATGATTAGGTGACATTTTCCTCAAGAGTTTATACGAGTAAACAAGATGGGTTCTGGTTACAAAGATTTGGATGCAGTGGATCGTAAATATTACTAACGTAGTGGATGGTGTTCACACCAGAACCACTGCGGCCAGGATTCAGATCAGAGTCACATTTTTGTGTTCCATGGTCTAGAAGAATCTCATGTACAGGGTTTTACACACTTAAAAAGGAACCAAAGGAGTTAAAGCTTCAGGTCTTGGTTTAATCACATTAACACGGTTAAGGTGCGGATGGATCCAAATGATCCGTTTCAGAACAAAAACCAGGATAAACGTGGAGTAACAGGATCAGGACAAGGCCAACATCAGGATAATTATCCGCTTCACCGTTTTGCAGATGAGACCCTCTTGTATTTGTCTTTCAACGCACATACCACCATACATCTAATGTCACTTCAAACACCACAACAGACAACCCATAATGCACCTAGGTCAAGGACTTAGAGCAGCTACTTATCGTGGTAACAGCCAATCATAGTGTGAGTCAGGTTTGTTGGACATTCTAAGAAGAGTTAGAATGTAAACAGAAGCTTTTTATGCTATGGCTGACAAAGTCATATGCTGCAGAGAACACATGTTACTGCGTTATTATAACAGTATAGTTATAGTTATATATTATATTTCTTCATGAATACAGAAAATAACCGTATCTTTAAAATTGTTTAAGACCACGTAAGGACAACATTAGCGATAGCAAAATTTAACCAAAGAATCCGATTTTTATACCGTCATAATTATGCAAATTAAATTCATTATATCACGGGTAAATAATTAAACACGACCGTCGATGCCTGTATAAGAACATTCTAATGTGGGTGTGAAGGAATGCGTTTACCTTGTCGCCCCGCCCCTCTTTGTGCCGGCAGGTGTCACTTCTCCTCCTCAGTTTGATGGAAGGGGACCGCAGCAGGTTCTTGATGCGGCTCCGGATCGTTCCGCTCCCCTCTGCATTCATCGCGCCTGATGCTGCAGCTAACGCGGCTAACCGCGTCCGTCAGCGTCTCGACTCTTTCTGCTGCGGTGCCGCCTCTGCTTCTGCGGTCATTCCGCCTCACAGCCGCAGGGTCCAGTTCACCTGAGTGTTGTTCCGGTTCTACACTGATCCGAATCGCAGGCTCTGGTTCTGCCCTTGCTCTGCATTTTATTTCTCCGCCGCATCGAAGAAGCGACAGACGCAGCTGATCAGACCAGACTGAGCTGCGGCACCGCCGGCGTCAACACCGCGTGCGGCAAATGTGCTAAGAATTCCGGTTCGATTTTTCCAAATAAAATTATATAATTTTAAAAAATGACGTCTAACTCTAATATTCTTTAACAGACAGATTTTAACGATATGAAATTCAATGTTTCCATATTATATCGTAGTATGGCTTAAATTATTTGTAGAACCTGTGCTTATTTATTACCTGTGCAGGTAATTACACTGCTCAAACTTAATTTCTGTGCTTTTTGTGTGAAGGTTCAGCCTATTTCCGGTAACTCTGATCCACGGTGCGGCAGACAGAACGCTTGGTGGAGCCCCAACTGGCGATTAGAAGAACTGCAGCTTCACACGTTTCCAATGAACTTTTGCTCCAATAGAATGTAACTGTTTTTAAATAAAATTAGATAAAAAATAATTCCCCTATCCATTCATCCATCAACTTTACTTACACCATAGTAATGGGACTGAGTTCAAATGTCCAACGTCAACCTTTATTTAAATTAGTGTCCTGGACTAGTCATTTATTTGTCTGTTTGAAGTGTAGAAAAATACAAATTTCAGAAACACATAAACTGTACATAGTTAAACAGAAAAGAGTCATCAGTCATCAATGTCCACATTTCCTGATCACACTGGACCAGGAAGACTGTCAAACAAACTGCCATTTATCTCCTGTAACATTGTTATGAAACATGATATTTTTTTAAAACAAAAAAAACGGAAAACTCTTTTAAATGTCTTATAATAAAAGTATCTCAGGTTTCTATTCGTCTTGTGTTTACAGTGCATCATTAAAAGGTTTTCTAAATAAAAGTCAGTCAATAATCAGTCTTTTGTTTTCATTAGCTGCAGAAATGTCAGCGGATAACTTTAACCAGACGTGACATGATCTGTCAGATAGGTGGCGCTCCTTTAACTCCCAGAGGAACCAGCCGGGGCATAGGTCTCCATGATGGAGAAGCATCATCGTGACCACCAGCTCCTTCACCTGCTGTTGCTTTGTGACTGGGGGTGGAGTCTGATGAGATGGCTTCACCCACTTTCATTTGCAATAAAGGGGGTGGGGTCAAGACTACTTTGGTGGTGTTCCCATTGGTGGTTCTGCTGGGTGTTCCTTCCGTGTGTTCTTGAAGCATTGCCCCCTCTGTTTTCTGGGGGGTGCAGTTCACCTTCACACAACCCTCACCCTCAACATTAACTGCTTCACTTGACATCTCCACTTTTGTTGCTGTGGAAACAGTGTTCTGATTGAGAAAGACTAATTCGTTGAGGAGTGTCTTTAAACCTTCGGGACCACCCTCAGGCTCCACCCCTGGATCCAGAAAACACGCCCCACCTCCAGTGGAGGGAGGAGATGATGAGGAGATGGGGGATTTAGGGTTCGTTTCAATTAGGCCCTGGACTTTCTCTTGGTTCTGATTGTGTTGCTGATTTTTGTCCGGATTCTTCTGGGAGGTGAGGTTTGTACCAGCAGACAACACCAGAGGGCTAGCTGGTGAGAGCTGCGGAAGCTCAGGAACCAGGTGGAGGAGTTTTGCAGCTGAAAAAAAAAAGACAGACTTGGACTTTTGTGTAACGACAACATTCACACTGTTGTGTTATACGTCCCTGACTGCATTGGACATTTTGCTGTGTTCAATTCACTTTAATGTGGAACAACAGCCCATTTGAAGTTGGACAGAGACTGACATCTCTCTCTCTCTCTCCCTCTCTCTCTCTCTCTCATGTGTCTGTTTGCTTAACACATTTACCAGGATTCATATTCAAAACTAAACATTACTATGTGCGAAACCACTTTAAAAATTGATGAGTAATAAGTAGTTAATAAGTGTGTTTATAAAGACAGTTTAGTGGTCATAGGTAGCGAGTGAATGAGTGACCTTACCAGAGGTGGGGTACAGCAGCGAGTCCAGCTTTATCTTATTGGTCACACTGGGGATGTTGAGGGTGACCATACCTACAAACAGGAAGAAGAGAAAATGTATGAAATGAAAATTAGTTTGTGAGATATGAATGGTCTGATGATCATTTGATGTGTTTCAAATCCTGAATATATAATGTCAGGCTCTGTAACTCAAGTTTTAATAGTGAATAGCTCGGGGACTTGAAACAGTTGACCGTGGAATGCAAAAAATCTTTCCACACCTTTATTTTGTTTGATTAATCTTCACCCTAGACTGGTTAAGTCCACCACAAACAACTGCAGTATGCAGTACGCCTCTGGCATATTACTAAGCACCTCCTCACTACTCCACTTCTGCCCACTAAACATTTTAAACCTTTGTTTTGTTTATCTTTGCTACTTCCATTTTGCACTGTTGTCTTTATGGCTTCCTACCCAAAATACACTGTTCTTTTTCACCTACTCTGTGGTTAGCTGGATAAACTGCCTCATTTTTCACTACACACCGATTAAATGTCTAACAATTTCTTCACAGACCAGCCTTTAAGGTGTGGTGGATAAATACAATTAAATAAATTGATTGGATCAGTATAAAAACTGGTATTTCCAAAATATAATAAATGTTAAGCCACTATGTATGTAACTTTATTAGCAACGTCCTCGTAACATCGCACTTGTCCCGCTTGGTCACCAAGTAGTAAAGAAGGATTCATTGCCTCTCGGTGTGTAGGATCAACCTGTCGCAATAAATCCATATTTCATGTTGGCGGTATGCAGTTGTCTGTTAAATGCACCTTTCGTTTTGCACATTTTGCTAGCTTGGGGGTTTCGATTTAGCGGTAATGTATTCTGTGTTATGGGCTGCAGCAGACCTTTTATGAAAGTAGTGGTATAGTGTAGGTAAGACACGTGACCGAGGCATCATGACATGTATCAAGTGTGAGTCATAGACAGATGCAGCGGAGAGAATCCAGTAATTTTTCAAAATAAAACATTGTTCAGACTCGGATATTAAATACAACGGAAATAATGCCTTCTGAAAGTTGCAATCTTTACTGGTACCAATTGACGCACGAACCGGTGCCAGTCCTCAGCCCGGGGGTTGGGGACCACTGCTATGAAACATAAACTCTGGTCCACCTAAAGCAAACTAAACAGTTCTGGTGTAAAAAAAGGCCTTAATGTGTTCACGTGCATATTTTTAAATTATTTGATAAATTCACGATAAATTAAAGAAAAGTAGCCCTAGTTTAGCTTAAAGCATTTGATAAGGATATGATAATATTCCATATTTATTATGACACCCATATCAGTCACCAGAGAACACAGAAGGTATCTGTGACTGACCTGTGGTTGGCTGCAGAAATGATTTTTTGTCCATTACTGGCCCAAGGGTCAGAAGCTTTTGTCCAGGCAACGCTGTACCAACCAGAGTCAGAACATCAGCTGGAACCACAGCTGTGATGGGTGGAGCTTCATAGACACAAATGTACAGACCCATCAGTTGAAACACAGGTGCATAATGTTTGAAAAAAAACAAAACATAAATCACTCTCTGGGTGAATATTTAGTGTAGGACAGATTTAGATGTTACCAACACGAGAAACTGTAAAGAATAATAATGTTTACATGGTGACACAGTCTTAGGAAGTGAACTGAGACAATGTGTCTATTTCATCAGTTAGAGATAAGATTGTTTGTTATTTGCATCTTAAAAACAGGTCTTAAAATGACTTACAATCCAAAGTGTCTTTGAGTGGAGATGGTGAAGGCTTTCTCTTTCGGGACAAGATGTTTGGGACCGTCTTCTGTCGCTCTCTGACCCCGCCCCGATGAATGACAGGGGCAGCCCCCCTGGACTTCTTCAGGACACTGTGGACTGGCTGTACCAGGGTGGGGACTAAAGATTGGACAGAAGCTGATGTGGAGCCAGCAGGTTTGGGACCAGTTACAGATAACTGGGCTTGGTCAGATGACTGATCAGGAGGGATAGGTGTCTGCTGAGGTTGTTGAGATGACAGAATAATGACATCATCATCAGAATCCTCTTCCGGCAGCTGATTGGTGGCCTGGTCTATGTTTTCCAATTCCGTTTCCCTCTCCTTACTGAAATGCTGCTGATGTTCACCTGCAGCCACAAACACACTATATGTTAGAGCTCCATCTATAGGACAATGTAATAAAGGGGGCAAGACATTTCTAAAAAACAAAGAAGTCATCAAGTTATAGCTACAGATGTCAGTCCGCATTCTCCCTTACTTGATGGAACCAGTGTGGCCAGATATGAATCCCTCTTTTTTTTCAAATCCCTCTTCTTTAACATCAGATTTGTTTCAGTCGTCCTCAGGTCCTTGATCACCTGCATTGCCTGGAGGACAGACACAACATCTGTCTGTGAAGACAAGACAAGGAGAAAACAAAAGGAAGAGGAGTAGGAAAAAAAGAGTGTGATAGAAGAAAAAAGAAAGAAGGAGAGTGAAATTAGCATCAAGAAAAGCCAAAGAAAAGACTAGGACAAGAAGCTAAAGACCAGATAAGAAAAGGGCAAAAACCATGTGAAAATCCATTGATAGGATGGGAAGAGGACAAGGAAATAAAGAAAATGAGAGAAAAAAGAAATGAAAAGCAGAGGACAGCAGGAAGATGAGCAGATATCAAGAGGATAAAGACTGGACGTGGGGAGGATGAGGATCTGACCTTGTTGAGGGTGACAAACTTTGACACCCTGTCATCTTCAAACCCCACTTCTTCTCTCAAACGTTTAAATTTATGCATCATAAGCTTACGATGCTGCCGCTGTGTCCGTTTGTGTTTGACTCGCTGTAAACAAATACACATATCAGCTTAGACTGGGAAAGATATTGTTTTGAATGTCCAGCAGAGGGCGACTCATAACGAAGGACCCTTCATCACCAATTCATCACTAACACAGAGTGTAGTGAGCAACAATAAATAAATATCCACCGACCCAGAGAGATCTTTCAAAAAGTTCCCCAGTGTGGGATCTATAAAGTTCGACCTTAACCTTAACACAAACAAGCAATGGGGAAATACTACAAATTTGTCCTTTAAGAAGATAGAGTGAGCATCACAACAGTTTGTCTTACTTTTATGTCAATCGCCAATCTTTGTCTTCCTCCTTTCACCAACACTTCTTCACTGGCTGATTCTCCACTGAAGTCTGATGAGTTTTCTGTCTCACCGCTGGATAAAGGCTCTGGGTCCACCACGATCTCACCATCATCGTCCACACAGACAATGTCCAAATCCAAAGGGTCTTCGGCCACCTCAGGCTCAGTGACCACTGAGTCGGAGGCAGGAGAGGGCGTGGCTGTGGTTCCAAACTCTGACTGTGGTCCATGAGAAGGCACTGACCCTCCAGTAAGAAAAGGGGGCGCTGTGGATTCTGGTGGCTTCAGTTTTAAGTGGGTTGGGCTGTTGGGCAGGGGCAACTTTTCAGGGGGAAGAAGTGGAAGTGGAGAACATTTGATAACAATGGATTCTGTCTTGGTGCTAGCAGGTAAGATTTTAAAGGTGCATGTTCCCTTCTGAGACAGGAAGCCAGAGCCTGGACTAAGAGGAGAGGGGAGGGGGGAGACAGAGAAGGACTGGAAGCCTGAGAGTGAGGAGGCAGGAGCAGCAGAGGGAAGTGTGGCTGATGTGGTGGTTGATTTCTGATTCTGAACAGTGACCGCCGGAGTCTGAAGTGGCAATCGGGGGAGAGCTGTAGGAGAACAGCCTGTGGCAAGAAGATTCAGTTTAGAATATAACTCTACATTATGATGTTCTTTTAATCATTAAAGCAGCAAAAGGATAAGTAATGATTCTGAGGAGATGTTGTAAACAAACACTGCCGGTCAGCTTACATGGAGACTCACCTCTCAGTACAAACTGGGCTGGGGTTTCTGCTTTCATTTTGTTGAGAGGCACCAGTTGCACTACTTTTCCATCAGGGAATCGGTAAAACTGTTTTCCTGATGGTAAAGAAACTGGTTTCAGCAAGACCCTCTGACCAGGTGGAGGCTGGGCTACAGGGTGAGAAGACACACCTGACAGTGGGGCCTTTGGACGAGGACTTGGAATTGCCTTTTGATCTGGGGTTATCTTTGAACTGGAGACCAGATTTCCAGGATGAATCACCTGAGAGACTGGAAAGACACCTGAGGTTAATTTACAACTACACTGTAAAAAGACATATTTAATCAAACTGACAACAGCCACATCTACACCATTACATGTAGTGTTAACACCACTAAATGTGAAGGCTTGTGACCAACTTAAAGCACTAATAACTCTTTTTTTTTTTGTAGCCACACCATGAGAAATTGCAGGTAAGGATGTCCTTCATAATCATAGGAGGGACAATCATATTCCTCTTAATACACTTCAGAACTCAAGGAACCTGAATTACCAACCCTGTGGAGTGTAAACAACTACCTCTTGCTGAACAGCATCGTGGCTAAAGAGATGATCATAGATCCAAAGGTCCAAGTCCCCACTCTTACCAGTTAATATCAATCATCATATTGAGCGTCCTCCTTAATGAAAGCTTCGACTTGTTGGCTAACTCTGATGCCCTTTTCAAAAACTATCATAACCAGCTACACTTGGTCTCCACAGGAAACAGCTGATAAGGCTCATCAACAAAGCCAGTTCGGTGCTGGGTAGGAGCCTGGACTCAGTGGGGATGGTTGGGGAATGAAGCACCAAATGAACACCGTAGCTTGTGGGAGTGATCTCAAAGCCCACTCATGTTCCATTCTTCATATTTGTACCACACCAACCTTTCTAATGTTCTTTGCACGTCACTGTATTGACTGTAGGTAGAAGCTGTGGTTCTTGTTGATCTTTTAGGTATTGTTGTCTCCGTCTATTTCAATTTTGCTACACTGTGCTAACTGTCAACTCAGAAGTCCATGTTGACAATGTCTGGTAGTTGCCAAAACATACTGTAGTTAATGTTCCCTAAACAAATATATGGGCTAAAAAAATAACACTTTTGTAATATAAACATTTATCGATACTGTTGAAATTAAAAATATTTTAATTCTGATTCACTGATGTGAACTTTTCACAATTTAATGATTTAGTCTCACCTGTTGAAGGGGCAGAGCCACCAGAAGTTGCTGGTAAAACTCTGACTTGACCACTCCCAGAAACTGGGTATACTTTGACTGAAATGATCTGAGTCCTGGAACCCTCGGGTTCTTCCCCATCAGGCTGAGTCCTGACAGCAGCCTGATGGTTCCCTGTGACATATAGATAAACCCTTATGGTTGTCACCCTTTGTGGCTCAGTAATGTCATCCTGTTAGCAGACAGGTTGCAAAGGATAACCATATTTCCAGAACTAAAATATCTAAGCACTACCAATGGTCTCTTATGTGGTACTAACTGTAAACTGCCTCACCAACTGTAGGACAAACAGAAAGTCTCTTCTTACCTGTGGAGGAAGTGGAAGGGAGTGTTCCTGGTACCATTGACTGGGGTTGGGATGAAGTCCCAGTGGAGGTGCTGGTGGCCGGAGAAGTGGTAATAGTGGTGGTGGTCTGGGTGGTTGGACTTATAGTCTGTGTCTGTAGCTGCTTCTTTATGGACCCCACTCGGCCAGTTAGGTAAGCTGCAAGGCGGTTTGCAGGATGCAGCGCCCCCATTTTTCCTAACTGAATCTTAGCCAGAGGATAGAGTTTCCCATTCACCTGAAACAAAACAAGTGTTAAATGTGAGAAAACTGTATTGAAAGTCACTCTAAGTCTCAGACCAACCAGAATCAGACCTCACCTCGACCACGTGGTCTGTGCCTCCTGGCTGCTTCACCTTGGCAGACAAAAATCCAGCAGGGGAGATTCCTGTCAGTAAAGGCAGAGCCAGGCTGTCCTCAGTCTTTGCTTCTTTCCTCAGTTCCTGTCCACTAGTCTCACTCCCACTGTTGTTCTGTTGAGATGTAGACCCCTGCTCTTCGTTAGTGTCACTTTCCTCCACCTGATTCTGCCGGTTCTCTGATGTCTCGTCTTTGTTGGTCATGTGTTCCTCAGTTTCTGCCTCCTTGCTCTACAGAAATGGACAAAAACACACACTCACATTAAACAGCTGTAAAGCCCTTTCTGTATTTTGTCCAAATAGCTTCAGTGAGCTGCCATTTACAGTACAAAAACCTAGGTTTTAGGTTTAAAGAGAAGCAAAGAGTGCAAGCTTTTCTAAGGCATTGAGCATTTGTGGAATAGACAATTAACAAAATCACTGCACTGTTTAACAGGACAAAATAATGTCATCTCAGTCTGACATTTTTTCTCTCTTAGACCAAGACAAAGTGATTTTAATGAAGGAAAACTGAATCTTGATCAGTGGCATTAATAAGGACTAAGACGCTGGCTGCTCGTTCATCAAAGAACAGTACCTGTTCGAGGGGTTTTTCCACTTCCTCCTGCTCAAGTGTGGGCCTGCTGATGTGGACTTTGTACTGGACACAGCAGTTGCCGTTGCCCTCCTCCACAGTCTGACTGATGGGAGTGATGAGATAGTCTTTGACCCAGAACTGAGTATTTAGTCGGTCCAGAGCCATGGCTTCACACATGCTCTTTAAAACCTGGTTTCGGTCATCCTCGGACGTCCACTTGCACTCAGCCAGGATGATCAGGCGTTTCGATGGCTTAGAGGGCAGCTCTGTCTGCGGAATGGGAGGCTGGACAGATGGAGGTGGCTGAGACTGTTCTGCTGCTGTGTAAAAATGACAACATCTCTCAGTCCGAGTTTTACTGCAGGGGAACAATAATGTAACTACTAGTACAAAATAAAGGAACATGATTTGGCTAATAATTCCTAATTAGTCAGATACATTTTAAGTCACTCACCACACATAAAATTGTTGTGTTGGGTTTTGGGTCAACAGCTCATTATCCCACACCAAGTTTATTGGAAAATTTAGCAATTTTGTATGTCAAAATTAAGATATTGATCCACTGCTGCCTCCGTTGAACATTTTCATTGTAATTTCAAAGATTAGATTTCCTGGTCAATATTTACTCAGTTAATCACAACAGCCCCAAGAGGCAGTAATAGGCCAGTAGTTATTTTGACGACAAGAAAGTCACAATTCTCTCTGAACTTTGTTGTGTAGTTGAAAGCAGTCACCAATAAATAATATAATAAATAATTATTATATGTGAATAAACCCACCTGAAGAGAGACTTGGACTCTGGCTCCTTACTTCATCTGAGGTTTGGGGAGTGTGAGGTTTCAGTTGGAGTGATTCATTCTTCTCCTAAAAGACACACCAATAAAAAAGTGAAAATTCTGACATATGGTCAAATCTACATAAATTACAAAAAGTAAATATTAAAATACATTTTAATGTACAGCAAGTTTGACCTTCCCATTAACAAGCAATCTTTGAAACTAATTCCCATCACATTTGTAATCAACAGTTGACAATTCATATTTTTAGTGAGAAACAGACACTTGCCTTCAGTTTCTGACTCCGTCCCTTCCCGGTGTAAGCTCTGACTCTGGCACAGCTTCTCGTTTGGTCCAAACACTGCTGCAAATGGACAGGTCTGGTCAGGTTGGTCTGGGAGTGTTGTTGAGGGATGTATGTTGGCTCTGGATCCAAGTCCTCATTTTCCTTTTTCCAGAGAACGTGGACCCGCTCTGCAGGTTGGGAAACTGTCTCTGCCTCCTTCAGAACTGTCAGCCAAACAGGACACAAATTAGAGCTCACCCAGTCTCACAGTCATGGTATTGAGAGTTATTGTTCTTACCATAAGCCATTTTCATTCTCCTTTTCCTCCTCTTGCTCTTCTTGTTGCTGCCCTGTTTTAAAGGGCTTAGGTCGGGGCAGTCCAAGTTCTTCAGCAGCACCACCTTCTGTTTGAGGCAGCTGCAGCCAAACATACACTGTGGCCGGCCGCAGTGCCCGATCCTGTAGCTGTAAGCCAGACTAGAGCAAATGCAGCCCAACCTGCAGTAGTCATTAAGGCAGGGCGGCGCTCTACTGCACCCCAGCTGGATGGGAGCAGTTGGGTTCTCACTGACAAAACCCTGAGGAACAAAAAAGAACAGTACGTTTACACCTCCACCACCTCCTGCTCTCTTGAGTGAGCAGAATATGTCAGTACTGAAACTAAAAGGATGTGCTTTATTTACATACCATGAGTGTAAAGAGTGATGTCAGAGCAATGGTAGCCCGCTCCTTGGTGATGCTGGTCCGGGGCTGACCCTCCCACACTACTCCATCCTCCAGATCTTTCTGCCTGAGCAGAGCTCTGGTCATCACAGGTGTTTTGTCTTGTTGCCTATTGGTTCTTGACACTTCTGTGTCCGACTCTATAGGTTCTAGTCCCGATGGGTCATCTTGAAGTGGTGGTAGAGTTTGACCTGAGGTTTTATATCTCCTCATCATCCTCTTGCCTTTAAAATTGTGGTTCTCTGGGGAGACTGATATTGGCTCTGTGTGGTTGAATTGAACTGTTAAACGGGAAACATAAGATTCAGTGATGGCTGCTGTTTGCTTTGACTTCATCAGCATTCATGCAGGCAGCTTTGAGACTTGGGTTGGTTTAGCAAGGCCTTTCTCCAGGCTGAGGAGAAGCCGGTTTTTGTCGCATCCTGGTTAGCTTTGAACCTTTTAGATTGTCTCGTGTCTTCCTCTCTGGAGGGGAAACTTTGGGTCTCTTAGAGGGAGGGATGAATCCAGATATGAGGTCAGATGTGGGAGGGCCGTGTTTCTTCAGGACACTGTCCAGTGTCCGGACATAGCTGGTGCTCTGGGCTGGAAGTTCATACGGCACCTGCTCCTCCTGTGGCTGACAGAAGCTGGCTGCTCGTTCATCAATCAGCTTCCCTTCATTCTCCAAATACTCATCCAGCATGTCACTGCAGAATGCTGACAAGTTCTTTTTGGGCAGATCTGAACTGGAACTGACTGCAGGAAAAAAGTTACAAAAACAAGTTAAAATTCTATTGTACAGATTCAAAAAAAAAGTGTGACTTAAAGCATTGTGGCAATGGCGGTTAGGAAAACATAAAATAATAAACGAGTCAAGTGATGTCGAATCATTTTTTCATGTACCACAACTCACAAGACAAACTTTGTCTTAATAAACTTAATGGAAAATTTTAACATGAAAAAAAAAAACCTACATTTCCCCAAAAACAAAGGGGAAGAGAGAGAGAGAGAGGGAGGGAGGGAGGGAGAAAGTGTCACTGCCGTCAAAAGTTTTGTAGAAGTTTAATCTTTTTCTGCATATATATTTGGTAAACCTTACATGTCTGGCATCCATTGCACCTTACAAATGAATGGTGGTTTACTAAACTAATGATAATGTAAAAAGTCTCTATGGCCCACTATAACAACCATCTCAGTTTATTTAGAAACAGTTTGAATCAGTGTTTCACTCTAGGACTAAAATAGGAAACACATTAACTGGAAATTAACTAATTAATTAACTAATTTCTATGAGGTCAAGTCTTCTCATTACAGTCTAAACATTACCTTCAGGTTTGGCCATTGGTGTGGGCGGGGCCTCTGGAGGACTGAACTTCTCTCTCCAACCTTTGATCAGAGTTACGTCAGTGGTTTTTCCTGTTCTGGAAACAAATGCTGCAGACGTTCCTGCAGAGTGACACAGAATTTTAAGGAACATGAATTTGAAGTTGTTGGTATATTATGGAGGTCCTCCAAAAGTAAACAATAACAGAACATCTAGGGAGAGAACAACAATCGTCAGTAGAGTTAAAGGACTGAGAGATTTTTTAGAAATAAAGTACAAAACATCCATATATGCCTAGACTCGAAGGTCACACAAACATCATCACATTTGTATTCATATTCAGGTTTTAAAGAAAATACCTTGAGACGATGTCAGCTCCTGTGTCAGTGGTTCCAGTCCAACTCCAGGAGGAGGGATGGGCAAATGAACCCCCAAGTACTGTAGGTCTATGGCCAGAGTTGGATCAAGGAGGTTCAGCTTAATACCCACTGTGTTTCACAAAAACAAGAAAAGCCACCATTAGCTCAGTGGCGCCGCCTATAGAGCCTGAGTTTGCTTTGATACAGACCTTCTTGTAACACAGGATGAATGACCTGCCGATGCTTGACTAGCTTCAGGTCTCTGAGAAGATTCTTCTCATACCTGTAGATCTTCTGACGCACGGCATCGCTGTCATCAGCTGAAAATGTGGAGAGCCTTGTTGGTTAGCTTAGCTTAGCATAAACACACTACGAGACTTGAATGTAAAAAATCATCATCAATCACCGCTCTCAGGTGTCTCAGTTGGAGGCAATGGGTGACTTTCCAGCATTGGCTGATGGTGAGATTCCTCTAATGAGTCTGGAATGTGAAGTTTGAGGGCCTCCTGGAATATACGGTTAATTTTGTAAAACATTTTCTAATAGACAAAGTGATGGTTTCTTTTTTTGAACAGAATGTGTGACTAGCAGATACTGTAAAGTTAACTTTTTCAGGAGAGCATCAATTATGTGTTAATATATGTGTGGTGTGTGGCCCAATTTATAAACAGTCCATTAATGTTTTAGCAATATTGGCACACACCAAATTCTAATCCTTCCAGCATACTCAAGATGTCTAACAATGTAATTAAACCCTTTATAACAATCACATGTGCAGCAATCAGTAAGACATTCTTAGTAAGACATTTATGGACAAATGCAGCTAGAACTTCACTGTTGGTTTTCTGATCTATTTTTACAAAATCAAACAGAAAGGCAATGTAATACAAGTGAAGTTTTACCTTTGATGTAAATGAGACAAACAACTGTTCCTCCACCTCCTCCATGTTCGGTTGCATGTTTGCATAAGAACCATCCACTCTTTGATCCTGACCATTGCTGGATGGCTTTTGCATGCAGGAGATTTTCCTGCGTTTGCAGGACTTCTTGGGTGGTTCAACATCTTGACATGGCTCTGGTGCATTTTCCTCTGATTTAGAAGTGGGTGAACAGCTGGCAGTTGCAGATGCGGGTGCTGGTGCGGGCGCTGGCGTTAAACCTGAATTTGAAAACTCCACCTCCATCCCAAGTTCATCACTAACGGAGAAAAACTGCACAAGATCAGTGAGAGAAGGTGCAGGTGATAGTACATCACCATCTATTGAGGAAAATGTTGGAGACAGTGGCAGTTGGAGCACAAGTGGAGACAATTCACCAGGAAATGGAAGTGACTGCTCAGCAATTTGGAAGGAGGAAATTGAATCTGAGGCCGCAATGGACAAGGCAGGTTGAAGGATCTGGGGTACAGGGTCTATTGGAGGAGGCGAATGTAAGAGTGGTGGTGTGACTGATGAGAAAGAAAGCGTTTGTGATGTAGGAGAAAATGGTGTGTATGCGGTGTCCATGTAGGACGGCACAGAGGGAGGTAACACTGTGTGCCATTGAAACACGGATGTGCTAGGTCCTTCGCTCATTGTCGACAAGTCAGAGGTTCCTGGTTTCTGGCCTTGCTGAGAAAGGGTCGATTCAAGTTCTAAAGTGAATGAATCAGCAAGAGCTGGCAATGGTTCTGGAGAACTTGCAGGCGACATAGGCTCAAATGTAAAAGAAGAACACTCTGGGTCAGGAAGTGAAGAAACAGACCTTATTGTAGGGGAATTAGGGAGTAGTGTAGATGACTCTGTGATAGCCCGAGTCTGTGGTGATTTATTCACATGTAACACTGTATCAATGGGATGTGATAAAACAGGAGAGTCATCAGAGGTAGATAAAAGAGAGGAGACAGTGGGTGTAAAATCCTCAAGGGTACATAATACTGGTGGTCCATCAATGTCTGTAGGTCGAAAGTTTGGATTTTCTGAAGTTGAAATAGAGTCAAAGGAATTGCCAGCGTCTGGTACTGTTGGTTCAATGTTTTCAGCCGTACCTGATGACAGACTGGTAGGCTGAATGGTAACTTTTACTGGTTCACATGTAGGATCATTTGTGAAACTGTTGGATTCTTTTACAATATCAACGAGATTGCCTTCAGGAACCTTTTTATCAGAAATCTGTGCTTTAGAGTCAGGTGTTACTGTAGGAGGAGGCCCAATGTTGGACTTTTTTGATTTTGTTGAATGTTGCTTTAAAAACCGGGCAAGAGCAGGAAGAGGGAGTGCTGCTGTACATCTCTTCTTTTCTACATTCACCTTTGATGAAGATTCTAGTTTAGGTTGATGGTCCGTTTCTGCACAGGACTTCTGGGACACATTAACAACCTCACAAATATCAGTTTTTTTGGGAATCTCTACATCCAAACACTGTCTTGTTGTTGTCTTAAGTTTTCTTGGCATCAACACACAGTCACTTTTGTTTGCAGATGGTGTTTGTTGGTTTTCATCTTCCATGTGAGTTAGCTTAGTTCTCCGTGAAGTGCTGTTAGCACTGATCTCTTCCATGTTACAACGTTGCAGTGAAACGTGAGCTTCCCTAATAAGTTCTGAAAATAACTTCTGAGCAGGAGGTGAACCACTGCTAAAGAAAATCAAACAGAAACATTATGTTAGCGAGTAACATACACATGCATAAATAAATATCTATAACACATCTATTGGTTAAGCTTTGTAAAACCTGGTATTATTTTTCTTTCTTTTTTTTTGATATTCCAACTTTCGGTCAGATGCCTCGTTAGGGTTATCCAGACTAGTCACATTTTTTTTAAATTATCTTCTGTTACTGAATGTGCAGTTTTGGTAAGGAAGAAAGGAAATGTATTTTATTCTAGGTGAGGGTGTCCAAAGTGAGGATGTGGATGAGAGCGAAGGAGAAGAAGTAAAGGGAGAAAAGCTAGGGTTTTGCAGAGATTTTCAACAACTTTTCTGTCTGTACTATTAAAGTGAAAGAAAAGTGGAAGATTATTCCAATGCAGATGAAAAGGTCTGTGATCATCTGTGGCCAAGTTCCTCAAATTTTATCCTCCCGTCTCAGCGAGAACTGTGTCACCTGACTGCGTGAGCTCTTGTGTTGTGTTGTTGTTGAAACACAAATCAGGATTGAAAAACAAGAACTGTGAAGTGAAACTGACAGAGCAGGATATATATATATACACACACACATGTGTATATATATATACATATACACATGTACATATACATATATACACGACATCGCAAGATTTTTTCTAATATATATACACATGTGTGTATAAATATATACACACACACGTGTATATAAATATATATACATATATACCTATATATATATACACACACACATGTGTATATATATATACATATACACATGTACATATACATATATACACGACATCGCAAGTCGTTTTCTAATATATATACACATGTGTGTATAAATATATACACACACACACGTGTATATAAATATATATACATATATACCTATATATATATACACACACACATGTGTATATATATATACATATAGCTGCTATTTGTCTTTTTGACCCAGGAATATACAGAAAAAATGTTTTGCCATAATTAATCATAATAAGCTACGCTCACGCTTAGGATAATTAATCCACAGCTACCCGACAATCAATCTGATAAAAAAGTCAAATCAACTATTAAAAGACATTGTAAAAAAAAAATTCAAACTGAAACTCTTACCACAAACTCTCCTCAGGAACTCTGGCAGTGGACTGAATTTTGTTTGTGGTGTCACCTGGTGGTAAAGACTTTGAATCTGCTAATTTTAGGCTTCTTCGTTTATGATTTGCAAGCAAAGATTTTAGGTTGGTCTTTAATGGATTGGTTCTGTTTGGTTCCTCTTTGTGCAAATCTTTTCCAGAGTTTAGTTTCAGCTTCTGGCCCATAGAACCGGACAACTCCTCCTTTAGTCCTTTAGCAAATGGGTTGTAGTCAACTTTAAGTTGAGCAAACTTAGAGTTCTGGTAGGCAGTGACTGCCATGAATTCTGTCTGAGTAAAGGTGAAAGTGACAACACTAGGCCCAGTTAACTTAATGTCTTTAGTAGCTTTATCAGTTGGAATGATGTGCAGTCGTGGCAGATACCGGTGCATTGGGTGCAGAAAAATGTTCCCTTCAGAGATGCTGTTCGTAAGTTTCAGTCTGTAGAAAGACACTGGATTTTGCATCCAATGTTCACCCGTTGAGGGGGACTCTGGATGGGCGAATGGTGGACTCTTCTTATGACCTTCTGCTTTCCCAGCCGCTTGCCAGCTACTGCCTGTCCATTTGTAACAACTATTGTCTAAAGGTTGGATGTCCATAATTAAAGAGTATTTCATAGCAGATTGTAGACCCGAGATACGAAAACGGCAATATGGGAACATTCTGCTGCCCTGTTTGGTCAGAATCATTTCTGTTCTGCATCTGTAGAACTCATTCCACATGCTGTTGTTGTCTAGAGTTACTTTGATGCCTTTACAGAAACTGACAGGAGACAGAGGTTCTTGTTGAGAGTGTAGACTAGTGGGCTGTTTGACAGGCGAAAGAACAGGAGACATGCTGACTTCCTTGCCCGTCATATCCCTCTCTTTGTTGGTTACGTTTTGATGGCTGCGTAGTTTCCAACCACCTTCCTTTGCCTTTTGTGTTGTAGAAAGAATACTGCATGCAGCTGGATGCTCAGCTGCAGTCGCTGCTGCAGGGGTGGTTGCTCTTTCCTGACGGAGCACCATGTCTTTCTGCTTCCTTTTGCTAGCCATGGACACGTCCCAGACATTTAAGGGAAGGTCCTTCTTACAGGTGCAGACAATTGTTCAAGACAGCATTCTGAAACATCAATAGATAGATGTATAAATAAATGACAGAAAAAACATTTCGTAGTTACATGCCATCCAAGAAAAATTATTTAATGTAATGCTGCAACTGGTGAATCTATTTCTAGTTATAAATACACATAGCAGGAAACAGAAGAAATTGCATTTAAATGTATTGTGGTTAAAAGACCCAGTCATACAGTTGCAAGAGCTGTTCAAAATATTGAGATGTTTGAGTTTAAAGTGCAGGCAATGATATCTACTGCATATCACATAACTTCTGCAACAAGGCCACTATTGAATAGAACTAGCTGCCGGCCACACACTCTCACACGAGGGATAAGACCAACAGTCAAACAATGCCAAAATATTTTCAAATAATAATCTTAAAAGTTGGATTTTAGCCAATAAACCTACAACTGTGTATTGTCAAAACAATCAGTTTTTTTTTCTTTTTGTACTTAACACATGAAATTTTTTTTTTTAATCAGCTGCTTGTGATTTGGGGATAATTTAATATTTAGTGAAAGCAGCCATATTGCAAAGGTTATCTTGTACAAGAATAAAAACACCTCAAATTAAGTAGCAACTCAGTAATAGGTCTACAAAAGATGGTGTATGGTTTGTAAATCACATCTGCCCTTATCTGCACAAGGGAATAGTTGATGTTAAGTACTTGGAGCGTGTATACGACTGTCCAGGGTATCTGACTGACAGCTGGATCATCCAACATAACCCAGCAGAAGCAAACAGCCACTACATTAGGTCAGTGGACACTGCCAATGTCGTGCATTTCTCATATATGAATGTGTGTTGTAAGACATTATATCACCAAGCATCTGTGTCTCTGATTAAGTTTCAAGCAGATGTGGCAACCAAAAAAGGGGAATAAACAAAGACTGAAAATTGTAACACAAGGTGTTTCAGAAAGGTGCAGATCAGATCACCCTGTTGGTTAAAGTTCCATATTTCCTCTTACTCTTTTTGGGGAAAAAAGGAACACTCACTATTTCTACTGATGCAGAAGCTAGGGCTGTTTTTTGTCTTTGTATTACCTTTTCTTTACCATACACGCTAATGTCATGGTAGCTATTTTGCTATGATTTTGCAGTTATGTCTTCATACCACTTTAGACAACCATATTGCTTTAAACATGGTATTTAAACAAAGAGCGACACCGACCTGCTTGGCTTCCAAATAACAGAAGTAAAATACTTAAAGCTTACATACTAAAAATCCTTGGTTTTAATGTCAAATAAGCTTGACAACCTGTAAGACCAGCTAATACCAATGCAATGTCTCAGTCACTTGAAATAAAACATGTTTTAGCCAAAGACTTCAAACTCTAATGTTCAGTATGCCATGTGACACGGTTATTTACATACCAAAGACACAGCTATTTGCAGCAGGAGTTAGCTAACCCAGCAGGCCTGCAGTTGCTCAGTAATGGCGTCTATCATCATTAACCCTCCAAACTCTGTGCTCTGCTTCGGGCACTATTACCTTGAACACATCATTCGACGGGAGGGCTTTAGTCCGACCGTTGTCGTCAGTTTTATCACCGTTCCGCCACATCGCGACATCGCAAGTCGTTTTCTAAGTGAGTGAAGAAACGCAACACGAGGTGTCTCTTGTCGTCACGTCATCGCCGTCTCCTTCGCTACTGCGCAGCCTCGGACGCCATCTTGCTGCCGCCACCTGTTTGAAACAACGTGTCGTCGAACACCGACAGATTACGGAGGTTCTTCTACGCTATCGAAAATGAACAGCGGTTCTTGGGACGCACCCACCACTGACTCCCAAGCGTTCAGTTGCAGTTATATTGATTCAGGGAAGTACAGCCATCGCCAGAAGATAGACGGAGAGGAAACTGGTCGACAGACTTTAGATACGGACAGGTCGACTGACAAGAGACACAGACACCAGGAAGGACGACCGACAGTAGACAAACGCGGTTAAATGTAGTTAGGTTAGTTCAAACTGGGAGAAACTAAAACCTCAACCAGTAAATTGACCCCGGGTGGGACGCAGTCTGGACTGAAAATTGAAACCCATCCAGTGCCTGCTGGTGTTTTATAAATTACGCGTGTGGGTGAAACCGGAATTTAAACACAGGGATAAAATGTGTAGTGGCCCTGTTTTGGTGTTGGTAAAATAACGCCTTACTTGAGCCATATATGTGTTTTTGTTCTACAGCCGTGCTTCCCGTGTGTCTGTCTTCTTCCTCTTCATCTCTCTCCCTCCCTCTTGTTCTGTTGGGAAATGGCGGCTGCCTTTGCTCTGCAGTAGTGTTACGTCGGTGCAGACCGACATGACCTGGTTAGTGGCAAGTTCTTGTCTTTAGATATGACAACAGAGAAGAAATTAGATCAAATAAAACATGTTGGCGCAGTTCCTGAAACCAAGAACGAGGCTACAATTAACCAGCTACTAGTTTATGACAGAGGAGATGAGAAAAGCAATCATGTCACGTTGTAATCGCACACTTTACAGTACTAGCACCCATACTAGACGTAATAAACGGTAATTTCGTATGGTTATGGCAACGTGCAACAGAGCAAACATTGCAGATAGTGCGCAACAAAATTTTCTGTTGGGTACCATTTCACACATCAAACTATTGTTTCATGGGGTTTTTTCACATCTTTTCCCCAAAAATATCTATTATAAGTAAGGAATCAAATAGCAACATTACTGTTAAAACTAACCATATCTTAATTGCATTTTCTGAGGTTGGCTTAAACATCTAAACCATAAGCTAATGGCTAAATATCCAAAAGCTAATCAAAGTGTTCACAGCTAGCATAGTGAAGTTGAAGTTATGTTTCTTTACCTGATTGCAGGTCATTATACAGTTGATCACAGATAATTTCATAATATTAAGACTAAAAGCTGTGTTGCACCACAGTTTTTAATTCCATCTGGGAAAAAACAGTATGTGATTCACAGGCCACAGTACGTTTATTATGTTTGACTAGCTAACCTGAGCTCTCCCTTTTCTTCAGAGTGGCTACAAGAAATCAAAATTATTATTTTTTATTAATAAAATGTAGTTTTCTAAGAACAGTAATGGCACTCCTTCCAAGGGTAACATGGAAATTATAAATGATCTGCCAACAGCTTGGTGTAATCTCCCAATTATCTGTTAAAATACATGCGAGGTGACCAGAGTTGACAGGCTAGCCAGGTTCGCTACACCAGTAGCACTTACGCAGAGTAGCTCTCAGTCGTTAGATTACAAAGAGCCTATGAATTGCCATACAGTTGTAAACAGAAAACTAGCTTAGCTGCATGCTTAGCTCTACAGTAAACTGTAGCACTAGGCTACTAGCCCACCACCTTGAGCTCCAGAGGAAAGTATATTGAGGTTACCTGTCAATACAATTGTCCTTGGTAAAATATCCCCACTTTTGTCAACACAGGAAGCGACAGAGCTCAATGGCTGAACACAAGTTCAGAACAAGTGTTGTGACTGAACACTTAACAGTATTTAGTTTTTTTGTAGAGCAGTATTAAATGTGATGATTGGCACATCAACATTTAGCTTTACAAAGCACTCGAGTGCACCCATGTTGTTTATTTTTCTACAGACTAATATTCATTTCACGTCTACATACTATATGTGAAATGGTTCTCATTCTCAAACAAGAACCCAGATGAGTGAATGGAACACAAGTTTATTATTTAGTACACAGCGATGGACAAAGACAGACAAGACAAAGACAGACATTTTTCACATCATTACAACACTGTCCCTTGATTTCCCATCATGCTGGATGTTGTAGGTATCAAGTCAGTTTATAGTAAAGGGTTTTATTCTTCAGTTAAAAAGTACTTTTAAAAATCTCCTGATTATAGATAAGACACATTTGTTGTCAATGATATGTTAACAAAACTGGTCAGTGCAGTCCGTTTGCAGTCACATTTGTTTAAATACACCACATCAGTTGAGTCCATATCTGTTCGGTTTATCCCACTCAACAGTCCACATGGAAGTACATTTTTGTCCAGCATCCTTCCTTTTAGTCCACTTTAGTCCAGCATGTAGACCACCAAGTTTTTTTTAAAACCTAACCTAAAGGCATAAGTAGTATGTTTAAAAAATGATCCCAGAAACTGACAAATCAGCAATATATCTGCTGTGAGGTAAAAGTATTTAATATACTAAGTCAGTGATTACTCCTGATCAATGTATAGATTTATATGGATGTTAGTGATAGTGAACCAGTGTTGAGCAGCATAACAGTCATGTGACCTTATACTGTTTTGTTTCCTTATTAAATACCTTTTTTTAATCTTCTCAATAAAGTTTAATACGTTTCCAACCTGTTTCCAAAGTCTTGTTGCTTTTCAGTGCTTTATCCACCGGATGATGACAATAATGCCCTGACTTGGAAGTAGGTGGAGCTTGTAGGTGCAACGGAATGTTTTTAAAAATAATTTTCACACAATTCCAGGTTCCAGTGACCTGAATCGAGCCTTTTCTGGCTTGATTTGGTCCAAAAGGGTCATAATACTGAGTAACCATGGCGTTAATGTAAACAAAGATGTGATGACGTCACATTGGGTTTTTTTCCAAATGTGACCTTAGTTTTTATCTTGGTGAGAAATGTAGAGCTGAGTCAGGAAATGTAACGTGTTAGTCTTAGACACCTGTCTCCACCTTACTGTAGCCTTACGAATGTCACAGTAGGAAGAACACAACTATATTTACTCTTAAACATTAATGACAACATCGTCTTCATCTTCATCCCTCACTAGCTGCTCATCCTCTTCAGGGCCTCCACAGGGGCCAGTAGTGTACCTGTAGTCCCCTCCAATCGCAAGCTCTGCACCAGATATCAGCCAGTCCCTCTGACCGTCTGCTCCCTGCCGCTGCCAGGGGACACTACAGCTGGATGCTCCATTCTCCCCTTCCAGGTTGATGTACAGCAAAGGTGCTCTCTGTGTAGGAGGAGGGGCTAGGCTAAACAATAGCCTGTCTAGCTGGATGACCAGGCCATTGAAACTGGGGCGACACTTGGGGATGGGACTCCAGCAGCTGTGCATGATTTCATAACTAAAACCAATGATAAAAGAAGACAAGGTTATCTACACTGTCTGACACATGGTGATGATGTCTTAATGATGTCACTCACATATCATCTCTGCAGTCCAGAGGTTTCTTTAGTCGCTCTCCTTTAATTAAAAACTCATAAATCTCAGAGTTTTCTACACCAGGATACGGAGTCTGACCTCGGGTGACAATTTCCCACATGGTGACTCCAAACGCCCACTGACATCAGATGCACAGAAATAAATGTTTAGGGTTGATTATCACTGTGGCTGTGAGGTGGATGTGTGAGAGTGTTGTGTGTGTCTTACCACATCGCTTTGTGTCGTGTAGACATTGTCAGCCAAACTCTCCAGAGCGATCCACTTGACAGGAAGTTTGGAGGCAGAGCCTTGTCTGTAATAATCTCCACTGTAGATTTTCTTTGACAGCCCAAAGTCAGCAACACACACACGCATGTTCTCACCCAGCCTGCCAAACACACACACACAGATAGAAGGTCATATTATGACATAACAATGGGAATCTATTTAAAATGAAGGCACAATAATACCAAGGTGTGCATGACCTGTATAAAACACTGAGCTGACCGTTTAATCCAGAATGTTTTGCAGCTGTAATCCAGTTAGTGTATGGACTTACATGCAGTTTCGAGCAGCCAGGTCTCTGTGGATGATGTTTCTGTTGCTCAAATAGTCCATTCCTCGAGCAATGTCCAGCATGAACTGAACAAGAGTTTGAAGAGGAAGGTCCTGATAAAAAGAAGCAGCAGGAAGGCAAAAAAGTCACGTTAGAATTTTTTTCACATGGCCATCAGTTTTTCCTGTGGAAGCTCTCTGAGTGTTAGTCTACTCTCTTACAAATGGCTCCTCCCCCAGTCGTGACATCA